GAGACACTAGACCAAACAAAGACGCTACGGTGTCCGGATTGTTTCTTAGCAGACACTGCACAAGGCAGTGTTTTGAGAAAGTCCAGATACGTTCTGGTTGGCCAGAGCCCGTGTTTGTCTAGCTCAGCACGTAAGCCCCTTCCGCCTGCCTTGGGGAGTGGGGGCTCTCATCCTTTCTCGCTGTTGCCGAGACACGCACGTCTGTCAGTAAGCCCGCACTGCCATTGCTGGATCTCTCTGCCTTGCCTCAGTCTCTTGGCCCAGTTGGTGGCTTGTTAGCATGCACCAGGAGTGGGTTTTTCTAAAACAGGAGCACTGACATTCTCAAGATGAGTACATTGCCTGTGCACACTCCTGGCCACCGTGCAGAACAATCATTCTTTGTTTCAGTCTATTTTCCTTTGGTATCACATACCTGAAGCTGGGTTACACGATCAAGGAGCTTGTTTCGGCTGACACTCCTGGTGGCTGTGAAGTCTAGGGCTGGTTACCACAGAGCTACACCCTGTCCCATGTGTGGCAGAAAAGTGGTAGACAGGTGTGTGTGTTTGTATAGAGAGGTGTTGTCTAACAGCCCTCTGTTGGGAGAACTAACCTGTTCCCTCTGTAAGTGTAATAGTGGACCCCTCAGAAGCCAAGTGCCTACTGCTAGGAACCAGTCCCTAAAGCTGCCACCCAGAAATTCCAGGAGTCTGGTGGACACTGATGTCACTCTAACCATATAATCACGTTTCCAAATGCTTGCCTGAATTTTGGCTTGAACCGGTCACTTCTAACATCTGTCACTGAAGAGGGATGTTCTGTCTACACTACTCTGGATCGAAGTTTCGGGTGGTACTTCCAGAAAAGGGACAGGGTACCCACTGCAACGATGAATTGTAGAAATATTTAATAAAGGTCTCATTGGGAAACCGTATAGAGTTCTGGGATCACCTTAATGGCTCTATGGAACCCATCCTCTTTCGATGTTAAAGATGGAAGCTCCCCCCCCCCCCCCCTGATCAGGACTTCCGTGTGTTCTAATTAGGTTTATATTTGTAAGGAAATGTCAGCTTCTGTAACCAGCCATTTCCTAGAGAGGGAAGCAACACACCCAGAAACTTAGCAGCAGGCAAAGGGCTCTAAATACCTTTCACAGAGGGGAAAGCCAAGAAAAGGGGTGGGGGTTGGGAAAGGGATTGTTTCCGTGCACTGGTAGACAGCAAGGCTGACTTGGTGCGCTGGCTCAGACAGCTGAGAATGCAGGCATTCACAAGTCGGGCCATTAGCGCTGTCCCAGGAGGCCACTTTGTTAAGGGGGATTAGAGACGTTGCCCGTAATTCATAGGCAGTCCGGGCTTAACCTTCTATTTCCCATCACAGCAGAGCATGTTCGTAGATTGTCCCCACATACTCCCAGCCCCTGCTGAGGGAGGGACTTGGTCGCATTTTCTGTCGGCCGGACAAACCTGCCAGGGTGGGAAAACCAAGTGTTGGCTGGACCAGGGGACTTTGGGGTCAGTGAAGCGTACCACATCTTCCTTGGCAGCCATCCGCGGGACTCGATGCTAGCGGTTGTCCTAGCCACAGTCGGCGATGCTGTCATTGGATGAACGCTAGCAGGCGCATAGAAGCATGTTCATCGCTTATGGACTTTACATGTAAAGAACTTAATGTCTTTACACTGAACTAAACGTGTATGTAGCAGATGACTCTAAGATTTTCAGCTGAGTCTTTAAAGGGTTCATTAAACAGTGGGCGTGGGAAGGGCAGTGTCTGCCCCCCCCCCCGCCCCTGCCCCCCGCGGGGGTTTAATTCCTGTGGATTCTTGCTGCTTGTTCTGCGGTCTACTTTGGTGACCTGACTCTTCCACTGAATGCAAGTCCTTTGTCTCCTAGAAAAGAAAGGCTGCCTGGGCCCGTTTCCTAATGAGAGCTATAATTTGGGAGAGATGGGGCTTTGCTGGAAGGAGGCAGGCCTTTGGTTTATGAAGGAGCACGACCTACGCGCTATCCTGGCTTAAACAGCCCGTCGGGAAACTTGTGAGACAAGCGCAGGGCATCCTAACGCATCCTTTGTTCCGCAGAATGCCTGTCTGGGGCGGTGGAAATAAGTGCGGGGCCTGCGCGAGGACCGTGTACCACGCCGAGGAGGTGCAGTGCGATGGGCGGAGCTTCCACCGCTGCTGCTTTCTGTGCAGTGAGTATGGTCCCCCTCCGTCTTTACAAAGGCCGCGTCTAAAAAGCTCTGGTTTACCTTTGGAGGGGAATAACCCTAGCTAAGAGTGATACTTTAGAGTGGCAAGTGGTTTTAACGTTTTAGTCTTAGGACACCGAGTGCCCCGCCCTCTCTTCCGCCCCTTGGCCTCTGCAGTTGTTACCTGTGTCCCTGCTTCAGTGAGGGCCTGGTGGCAGCTGGGCAGTCTGACAGCTACCGAAGTTTCTGGCACACTCTGTGTGTTTGGCTTGGTTTTGATGAGTAAGTTGATCTTTCCCCATTTCTGTTCCTGGCTGGGCTCCTCTCTGACACGTTCGTAGCACACCAGAGGCTTCGAGCTGTTTCTAAGGAAGCTCGCATTTGACCTTCTATGGTATTGTTAGTTACTTGTGGTTATTGGTACCCTTTATTTGAGAGAAGAGTGTAGGTCACCAAGTGTCCCTCTGGGCATGATGGGAATTATTGGTTGTTAGGTGCGTGGTAGGAAGTATGACGCACAACGACATATATATCTGTGTGTTCTGAAGAGTAAACACCCCATAATAAGAGAATCAGGAAGAAAGAAGCCCGCTTCCAAGCTGTAGCATCATGGCTTGAGAAAGCCTCCTCCCCGTCACGTGAAGAACTTCATGTGAGCAGAGACCTGCCTTGTTTACAGTGTTACCCCGTGGAGAGTACTGTATGGTAAACACAGTTTAACAGACACAGTCCATATCCTAAGCATGAATCTACTGGTCCAGGCATGGTAGCACAGACTTGTAAACCCAGCAGTCAGGGGCAGACATGGGCAGATCTCTGAGTTTGAGGCCAGTCTGGTCTACATAGCAAGTTCCAAGGACACATTGAGACCATGCCTCCAAAAGCTGCTTACACTAATTAAGATTTAAACTTTAGGGAACCGCTTTCGAATGTGGCTTGTCTCGCTTCCAGGGATGCCAGCACTCAAGCTGTCTGGACCAGTGCATACACAGCATGACTGCTTCCCAGAAAAAACAAAAACCAAAAACCTAACAGAACTGTGCTTGCAAAAAGGATAATGATTACACATGCCTGTTTTTTTGTGACTTCATAATGGCTGTTCCTCAGATTTGGTTGAACTGTTTTTTTTTTTTCCGAGGCCATTCTGTGATTTCTCTTCAAAGGGAATCTGTATTTCAACAGGCACGGAGCTAAGCAAAATGTTGGAACTCTAAGAAGCAAAGACTTTAGAAACCGGTCTCATTTTTAGGTTAAGCCCCGATAACAACGTCGGTGTTTAGTTGCTGTCTGTCAGGTTTTTCGCTGGCTAGCTTTACTCTTTCCTAATACTCAGCTAACAAAACCTTCCAGGGTAGCTCAGGGTCACCCGCAGCTCTGTGAGGATTCCCTGCAGAGCCGAGGGCTGAGGCTGACCGAGGTTTTGAACCTGTGCTGGGGTAACGTTAACATGCACGGGCATTTTCCCTGTTTCCCAGGCAAGGGCTCTATCCGTGAGCGGTATCCCCAGCCCTAACAGACATGTTTTTGAGAACAGGTTTTGTATGAACTTATGCTGTGTTAAGTAAGGCTTAAGGGCTGGAGGTGAATCTCTTCTAAGCCATTACATTTTAGCATTGAGCCTGAAGTCCATACTAACGGCCACTTATTCTTCTAGAGAGCACTCAGTCTAAGATATTCGAAGCCCTGGCAAAGCAGCCAGCCAGCTGTTCTGCTTGTCTCCCCTCCTCCCCTCCTTTTTAAGGGGGTAAAACTCCTCTCTAGTCCACTAAGCTTTGGTTTCCAGCTGCCTGACACGCCACCAGTGCGTTCCCGCACAAGGCTTTTTTTTTTTTTTCTCTTTTCTTCCTTCCCAAGCTGATTTGAAGTTTTAGAAAGTGAACTAATGTCTGCATAAAGCATGATGACATTTGGCAGTTTTATGAAGTGGGGTACGTAGAAATGTCTTGTGGTAAGACATCCATCAAGAAAGAATGCATTCTCCTTTGAGACAGGGAAAACAAATGCCGGCTTCAAACCGCTTGATAAACCGCTTGATGAGTCTCAGACCCGCTCATCCCTGCCAGGGAAGCTGGAAGAATGAGGTTTCTTTTCTTTCTCTCTCTCTCTCTCTCTCTCTCTCTCTCTCTCTCTCTCTCTCTCTCTCTCATTCTAGACTACAAACGAAATCTAGAATTTTGGATTTAAATCTTCATCTGGAATGTGCTTTTAGGAGAGAGAGGGCTGCAGAGGCAACTCCGAGGCACTCACTGCTCTTGTTCCTTATCGGGTCATGATGCAAACATTTGGTTATGACAGGCAGAAAGAATGGGTGTGAAAGGTTGAGAGGAAGGTTTGCTCTCAACAGGCGGACTCTGTGCAGAATTTCAGCATCAGAAATTCTGACATTCTTGTGAAGCAGGTGTCATACATAGCACAAAGGAAGGCTACTGAATCTGTAGGTGAAGGGGCTGCGGAACCTTTGGGAAGCCATAGGATAAACTGTAGGAGGGAGAAAGCCTTTGTCATCTGGACACACCCACTGTTTTAAGATATATATGTTATACATATATATGTGTGTGTATAATATACACTATTATTATATATACCCACACATGTGCACACACATATCGTTAAACAGTGGTTAAAACCTAACCTCCCCCCCCTCCCTTAGTGGTTTGCAGGAAAAATCTAGACAGCACAACGGTGGCGATCCACGATGACGAGATCTACTGCAAATCCTGCTACGGAAAAAAGTATGGCCCAAAAGGCTATGGTTATGGCCAGGGCGCTGGCACGCTCAACATGGACCGCGGCGAGAGGCTGGGCATCAAGCCAGAGAGGTAAGAGAAAGCTTGCTATTGTCTTAAAAGTGGGTAGAACAATTGCTGTTGCTCGGGTGCCAGGAACCCGGGAGTGTCTACATAGTTAGCTTAACCTAAGCAAGCAAGATGTACTATAACCTCTACTAAACGCTAATGTAAACCCTGTGACATTCTAACGTCAAGATATTGACAGTTTTGTACTTAAAGTCTCAGTGCGTATCGCAGGGACTTCTAGCCGTGGTTTTATCAGGAAAACGTAAGTCTCAAGGAAACTGACTTAAATTAACATTCCACTAGCACTCTGCAGATCAAATATCATGAAATAAGTGTCTGAATAAAGAGATGGTTCTCGTATGCAATTAAGCGGCCCATGGAAAGTCCTTAGTCACTCTTTCCTCAGGAAGTTACTGTCCTAAACTTAAAAACTGAAACAACTTCCTGCTTCATTTCATGCTGGGTAATTTCATGTGGAATTGCCTCTCCCTGTTCCCTTCAGTTCCTCTTTCCCTGATTGGGGACTAGGTCTCCAGTATGGTCCAGGAACCGCCACTTACAGCCCCTGCAGGCAATGTTAAAATATGCTGTACTTTTTACACTCGCCTTTTAAGCGCATTCCTGATTCCTAAGGTTCAATTTCAAATTTTTTTTTCAAGATACATGCTCCCTCTAAACCTTCCCGTCAGTGAAAACTAAATCCATCCATGACTCCCAAAGTCAGTATTTGTGCCCTGATCGGAAAAGCACGCCGACGCAAGAAGCTGCCCTTCCTGCTGTTTCTCTTCCTTTCCAGCAGCGAGCAAGCTGTGCGCATGCCCAAAGTCCCGCTCTACCCCTGCCTCTTCTGTCTTGGCGGGTCCGTGTTCTGCTCTTCCTTAAGGACTTCCTTTCCCAGAAGCCTCTCTTAATGACACAACACCCCTGGTTTGCCGTTTAATACACAGATTAAAGAGCTACCTACACAGGGGTCTCCTTGAGAGATAGCACCGAGGTAAAGAACACTATCATTAAGGCAGTGTTTTTCAGGCCGGGTTTACAACTTAATTATTTTAGCCCATTAGCAAGAAAAGAGCATCCTAAATAGCACCGACCCCCCCCCCCTTATTTGTAATGTGAAGTATCCACACCCTGTGAAGTTGTTAAAAGCCCAGAAGGAGTTGATCTGTGTAAAGTTCTTTTCTTTAGGCGGGAGGGAGGGCAAGGTTTCTCTGTGTAGCCCTGACTGTCCTGGAACTAACTGTAGACCAGGCTGGCCTCGAAGTCAGAGATCCACCTGCCTCTGCCTCCTCAGTGCTGGGATTAAAGGCTTCTACCACCACCACCTGACCTGTATAAACTTCTTAATGATATATTTGTAAATTTTTTGTTGGGACTCTAATCTTCAAGTGTTAGATGCCATTTTTAAGTAAGTTTTTAAGGATCGCCTTTTTAAAAAAGTAACTATCAGTAGGCTGGGGAAATGTTTTGAATATACACCATTAGGTACAACTGAAGAACCATACTGTGGATTCATACTTTGAAACACACACAATTAAAGATTGCCATATATATGAAACAATTCATGTAGAAATCTCGGTAAGTGACTCAAAAACAGAGTGTAGAGAGATGAAAAATTATTTAATGAAAAAAATCAGCATTTTGATATTACGATTTTACCTGATTATGTGTGTGCTTTAACAGTGTATTACAGTGCAGGGCTGTCCTGCAGCACCCCTGACAACCTGACAACTTCGGGTTCTAAAAGGCCCCTGTGGCCAAGAGCATGTTTTGCATGTTCTAGTGTGCCTGCTTATGACTGGGGAAAACGGGCGTCCTAATATGATTCCCCCTCATAACCTGTAAGTGGTGGCAAAAATACCATCCTGCCGCAAGGAAATGTAAAAAGCAAAACAGAGTAGCAGGGAAATTTCCAGAAGAATTTCTTTCCCATGAAGAAAATAGTTGACTCACACTTCACTGAGATATACTGAGCAAATATCTGTAAAATACGCCTTCCTTTCCCAGTTCTGAATGACTTCAGGCAGCCAGTGCATTTGTAGGTATTTTTAAGCTAACAGTGATCGACTGTGGGGGGGAGAAAAAGTGTTTAGACAAAGGCGGGGTGCTAGGGATTGCGTTGTGTAAATTCTGTTCACCCCCAGGGAAAGATACTTAAGTTCCGGGTTGGGGTTGCCTTCGAGCACCTGGGCCATTCCCTCTTCCTTCTGCCCACTGCGCTGCGGCACCCTGCAGGCTTCTGACCCTGCCTGGGGCTAGGGCTCCTCCTTAGTTTACGAGGACGTTTGAGGAAACCTGGCCTCATTCTTTTTCCTTTTCCTCAAGTGCTCAGCCGCACAGGCCTACAACAAATCCAAACACTTCTAAATTTGCCCAGAAATATGGAGGTGCTGAGAAGTGTTCCAGGTGTGGGGATTCTGTCTACGCTGCCGAGAAGATAATCGGAGCTGGAAAGGTAAGCTGCCATTTCTAACTGGTAACGGTAGGCCCCTCACTCCAACCCCATCCCTATTCCTCCCCCCCCCCCCCCCCTGCCCCCTTACCCCCCCCCCCCACCTGTCTCCATTTCACACTTAGGCAATGTGTTCTGGCTTAAGATTAAGCTTCTCCAACTGAATTTACACCGGAATCGCTAATTTATGTACGCGATAGCCATGCTTAACCGTCATGTTTAAAGAAACTTTTTCATCAATTCTCTATTTTAAAAGGCCCAACTGTGACCACCCGGCTCTGTACAGGTTCTGAAGTGCGATCAGGGCCAGGCCATTGGATGCTCAGTAGATACCTGGCCCTGGAAAAATACCACTTAGCTCCTTCGAGCTCCTAGGGTTTCAGTCAGGAAGGTGCTAACTTCAAAGCTGCAGACTGGGTTTGCAGCAAGGCTAGAGCCTGCTCGCTGGCAAACAGCCCTTTGCGCTGCCCAGGAGGGTCAGGTCTAGCACGGGGAACTTGCTTGTGGGTTGATGTTCCCCAGCCATTTGCTGCATTAATCAGCCCAAAGGAAACAGGCCTCTTGGATGTCCTAACACATCTGTCTCTTCCAGCCCTGGCACAAAAACTGCTTCCGATGTGCCAAGTGTGGGAAGAGTCTCGAATCCACAACTCTGACTGAGAAAGAAGGTGAAATCTATTGTAAAGGTAAAATTCCTTTGTTTCAGCACTTCCTGGGTGTCGCACAACCTTCTAGGTTAATGAGACATCTGATATAAAAAGAAAGTGTAGTGTCACCATGCAAGAGGTGTATGAGGCACTGACCAGACCCTCCCAGTCCTGTGTGTAACTCCCCCAGGGCTAGGAATCTGGCCCAACAGTAAAGCGCTTAAGTAGCGCATTCCCAAGACTGAGCCCAGTTGGCAGCACTGCCTCCCCAACTGTCTTTTGACTTCCTGCTTTAAACCAAGCATAGGAGCATGTGAAGGTAACAGACATTTAACTTAGCTGGGCTTGATCGTAACTGCTGTGGGAATTCCTGGCCTTGCTGCACACAAGGGTGCTTGTAACAAGCACACTTTGTATCTTGAGCTGACCTCTGACAGAGTCTACAGTTGGCTTTGAAATGTATGGAATTTGTGGTAAGCAATGGCAGCAACCGTTAATGACCTCTCGACTACTCTCCCTCTCCTTTGTAGGGTGCTACGCAAAGAACTTTGGGCCCAAGGGATTTGGCTATGGTCAAGGAGCAGGGGCCCTTGTTCATGCTCAGTGATGGTGTAAACCCAGAACGAAGCACCACGCACACCAACTCGTCACTACCAAACACAGATGACTTTAAGGCGCTCACTACTGTGAAACTCCACCAGCATGCGGCGCTGTGCGGCCACCCCTCTCCCTGCACAGGCAGGCTGGGCCCGGCAGCGATGCGCCCCCGCTCGCTGATTCACTAGCATTTAAGAGCATTTCTTCTACGTTTGAAATAAAAGTTTTGGCTTGATTTGTGTGCCTTCCTGAGTAAACCTTCTGGAAGAGTTGTGATTTCAGTGGGAAATCATTTGGCTCCTTCCTCCAGTGAAAAGTGCCATGTGGATACAAAACCATCAACGTGTTGAATAGACAACTTAAGCACTAGGCTGACACCTGCACTATGCAAGCTGAAAAAAGGTTTTAAAAATCATTTTTAGCCGGGTGATGGTGGCGCACGCCTTTAATCCCAGCACTAGGGAGGCAGAGGCTAGCAGATCTCTGTGAGTTCGAGACCAGCCTGGTCTACAGAGCTAGTTCCAGGACAGGCTCCAAAACCGCAGAGAAACCTTGTCTCAAAAAACCAAAAAAAAAAAAAAAAAAAAAAAAAAAAAAAANAAAAAAAAAAAAAAAAAAAAAAAAAAAATCATTTTTATTTCTGAGAATAATTGGTTGGGAGTAGCTTGGGGTGGGAGTGGGCTATGCCCTTTTGAAGGTGTGGCCACTAGCAGGTTTCCATGCTCGACACCCACACACAGGTGCAGATCTTCTTATCTGTCAAGATGTCTTGACTCATGGTTGCCAGGCATCACCCTCTCAGCTCCTCAGAGCCTCAGCTCCTCAGAGCCGGCCGTCAGCACTGCAGCTTCTCTTCCTTCTGCCCCATTACAGGCTGCTGGTCATTAATCTTCTTTGTTGAAGCAGTTCCCCAAAGCGTAGGTGGAAACCATCTACATTAGTATCACCTGGGTGTTCACTGAGGACTAGGGAGCTGGCTCAGTCAGTGTGCAAGCACAAGCATGCTTGGGTCCCCAGCACCCACTGCTGGTGAAGCTGTTGCAGTGGTACACGTCTGTAACCTGGGGTTGGTGGGAGGGGTCCCTGAGCTCACTTCCTAACTAGCCCAGCTGAACTGATGAGCTCCAGGTTCATCTGTGATCAAAGAAAACACCCTATATCACCCTCTGGCCTCCATAAGTCCCACTGCCCTTAGGACAAGGCTGCGCACCTGGGGGAGCAGGGTCTCCATTCCCCCCACAGGAAGGGCTGTAAACAAGCATAGGGGGCTTCGGCTAATGCACTTTACAGACGGCTAGTACTAAACTGAGCAGTGGCCTGGCCTTGCCTAACAAATTTTAAAATCAAGACCAAAAAAGACAAACTTTTCCACATAACTAATTCCGTAACAAAGCTCAAAACGTTTATAATACAAAAGTCTAGCAGCAATATAAAAGTTACTAGGCATGAAAGAAGGTGGGAACCCACTGAAAACACCATCAGTAATGAGGATGGGACCACCCAGTCACCAAAGCCAGCAGACAGCTGAGAAGAAAAACACCAGGAACACATATTTTCAAAGTGTAGAGAAAAGAATAATTAAACTTCCAAATCAGACATTAAAGCAATAAACTACAAAGTACAAGATGAAAATACCGATTAATAGTAATGGAAGGTTCGACCCTGCAGGAGAAATCAGCTAGTGATGGAAATTACGTAAACAGAGAAAAGCATTTCAACAACCGTGGCAGTTGGTGCACTATAAACAGGACCTGCTACCCTGTTACCCCGGTGAGTAGCAGACACTGCCTAACTGAAATATCTTGAGAAGGGAAAACAGAAAAATACTTGAAGAATGACTAAGAAATTTCCAAATTCGGTAAAACTAAATTGACAGAACCAAGGCAGCTGCAAATTTGGTAAAACTAAATCTAAATAAGCCACAATGAACCTTTTTGATGATATAAATACAAATAATTACCAAAATGTCATCTATTAAAACTTCATCAAGCAAAGTGTGGTGATTTAAAATCCCTGCTACCTGGGAAACAGAGGCAGGTGGATTCCAAGATCCAGCCTGGGCAATAAAGTAAAAGATTCACTTCTAGTCATCAGTAAACAGAAACTAAGCGAGTCTGGCTTCCTGGAGTGTGTGACTAGCCCAACACTAGTGTTTTACTCGCAACTACGCATCTTCTATTTTAAAAGTTACAAATATATTTAACAAACATGTAAACACTTTGCGAATGAAGCTAAAGGGCGATTTTCTAACAAGCCTTGACCCAGGATAGCTCAGATTCCTCAGATAACTAACCTGAACCAGGCTCCCCATCACAGCACAGGCCTCCCACAGCAAGGGCAATGAAGCAACGAAGAGGGCACTTGCCATGGAGTGGAGTGCGAATCGCTGTCCCTCGAGCACTTCTGTTCCACATCACAAACTATGACGTGAAACTACTCCTGAGTCCAGTCGCTGAGACTGCAGGAAAATACACGAATGATGGGCAAGAGTCTCACCACAATTTTGCCTTTTAAATTTTCTGTCATGCCTAGCACCTGAAGTGACCAAAATCAAAGTTTCATAAGTATCATTTTGCAACATTTTATTTTAAGGCTTTAGACATACTTATAATCAAAATCCAGATTCATACATTTCCCAAGGTCCTCATTAACTCCAGAATCCAAAATATACTAAGAAAAAAAGTCTCCTTTTGAGAAATGAACACACACACACACACACACACACACACACACACACACACACACGGAGTTTAGAATACCACCAGTTTTACTCACTTATGTAAATAACCACAAAATCCTGCAGCACTCGACTCCAATCTGATCATGATAGAAATATAGAATATTTTCATATCAGTTTCATCGCTTTCTTCGAAGTAAATTGATCAAACACCACATTTAAGAGTCAATATTTATTTTGATTAATATTTTACAAAATTTTGACAGGTTTAATTTATGTAAGGAGGACTAATTTATTAAACACTTTACAAGTTTTTCTTTCCACAGAGTAACACAGTAAGTAGCAAAATAATACTTGGCACAGTTATAAATAAAATATAAAATAAAAACATTCATAGCTTAAGTAAGATGCGTTTTTATGCCTAGTGTTTAAAATAAACTACAAACAACAAAAATATGGATGAAAAAACTCCAAAGAATTCACGTCCAGAGCTGAGAACCCAGCAGAGCAGTAAGTGCTGCCCCGGAGGGCCACGTCCACACAGCCTGAGCGCGCGAGCGGGCTAAACTGTTGCACACAAGCCACACAGTAAGGAACGAGCAGATGCACGGATGCCTCCAGACCATCTGACAATGCTTGTGCAGACGTCATGAAGATCACGAAATGGTTAGTACTAAAAGCATCTCCTTGTAAATATTTCCCACGTAATTACACATCTACAGGGTTTGTCTGCTTTACTGAGAAGCATCTCTTCTACATGGAAAGAATATTGTACCACAAAGAAAACATGGTAACAACATTCATATTCAAACAGAACCACCGTAGTCTTTAACTGTTGATAAAAATGTATCTGATAAAAATTGCAACTGAGTCTTCATGTGAAGTGACTCGAAATACAAAATTAAAACAAATCCTAGCATTTTATAAATAACCTTTGAATTTAAAAATTACCTAAATTTCCCCCCATTATTAGCCAAAACTAGCAGAGACATTTGTACAGCTAACCAGTTTTTTTTTACATTCTATGACAAAATGGTACAATGCTATTACCACCCCACACCCATCTCTTCCCTTTTCAAAAATAAAGTACATATGCCAATTCTAATATTAAAACCCTTAAATACAATAAGGGTCATTTTGGGTGGGGTGACTTATGGTCAAAGAAATTACTATAAAAACGGTAGTACTTGGAAATACTGCACATCAACTATATACATCTTCACTGCTCCTCCTACTAAGGCAAGGGGCGGGTATACCACTAGATTGCTTTAATACCTGTAGCCAGTATTTTACAGGGAATACTAATTTTACCTAGCACTGGACATGCAGTGAACTTGCAGGATAGAGTGCCTATTAACAGTAATATTGAACATCACTAGAAGCTCATTAATATCTCCCTTTTCTTTTTGGTTGGACAAAATGAAATGAGCAGCTTTAAAAACACTAATACATATAGACACAAAGAGAAAACTATTTGATAAATTATTTATATACACATACACATTCTTTACACTGGTCTAGGATCTGTCTCAGTCTGCCCCCGCCCCTCCCACAGGTTGCTCGAACCACAGTTTGCTACAGCATTTAAGAGGACTAAACCCAGTCTCACTGTAAACAATGCCATGGAAGCAGTGACAGTCACTCAGGAGGGTATGGAAATGCTGCAACAGAACTTGATCAGTGCATCACATTCAACAGTAGACTCAAAGACTGTTTCAGAAAGCGTTACAAACTTCAAAACATATTCAATATTGGAAAAATTAAAACCACCCTGGGGCTTAAATTCTACTCTCTGATCGGTCATTAAAGAAAAGAATGTCCCGTTAGCTTCTCACTAATTCACATGTGCTATGTACAGAGATCATGCTCCATCTTTAGCTGAGACTCCATTATTTTGTCTACAATTTATTTTTCAGCTTAGAATTGAAAAAGAAGCATATCCACTTATCTCAATTAATATGAATTTTGCATTAGCTTATTTGTTTTGAACTTGTTGAAAATCCACCTCAACTTTTTAAAAAATTGGGCTGTTTGCACATGAAATTAAATCCTAATTTATGCTTCACTGGACGGCATCTGCGAGTACACATTCTATGCAGTGTAACATGCACTTAGTAGGGCTGTAAATGTCAACAAAATATTATGACTTAGTATACTCATGCAAGTGCTTTATTATCAGACCGTGAGACCTCAAAGCAAGGTTTCTAGAAATTATTTCACTGAACTAGAAGAGACCAGCAGTGAGACAGCTGGTGTAACGGAACAGCGAGCACATTTCCGTGAACATTATTTCCCTGTGCCTTTGAGAACACAGTACAGTAGATCTTTAATAAAACCACATGATTTTCATCACAGTATTTACATGTACATCTAAAATGTACATAATACTAATCATCAATTTATGACAATTCTCCTGGGATAGATACAATACTCTTAAGTACTGCATAATACAATTTAGCCTCATAACACCCAATTTTGCTTCCGTTATAACAACATGTACCCTCGGTATGCCATCTCTAGTAACAGAGTAAGTTCACTTTTTCATGACAAATGTTATGAGAACAAAACCAAAAAGTTGAGTATGTTATGAATTCCTACATTAAGAACCATGAAAATCATTTTTATGATCTTTATTCTTCCTAGAAGTGGCAGTGTGTTCTGTCCATGTTTGCTTTCGTTAGTAAAAGTATTGAAAAAAAGACCATAAAATTCACTGTTAGCCCTACATATAGCATGCTATTTGTTCCAATGATGTGGATTCGAGTGAGAGAGAGACACGGACAGACACAATCTTCAGGCACCACTCAGCAATATTGTTTCATAGGATAAAGACACTGCTACACAAGCTGGTACCCAGATCCTGATATTTGGTCATATTCTATAGTGTACTGCCTGGTCCAGTCCACGATAACAGGACGAAAGAGGCCACAGCATCGAAATTCAAAGAAGTCTATAATATTCCTTACACATCCATGGCTAAAATCAGACCCCAAAAGAAAGGAGAATTCAGTTAGTACAAATGACTTAATATAATTTTTCATGTTAACATTTTCTCCTAAGCTTAAAATAGACAGGTGCTCATGTCTCCTCAGCTCTACCAGTATTTATCTTATTTTTCCTAATTTAAAACATTATACAATTGTACTTTAAAGTGACCCAACTACTTCACTCCAATGCCCTAAATACTACTTGCTTCTAAAACATGTACACATGGACACACACACACACACACACACACCAGCAAAAACAAACAAAACCACACACTTCCTTGATTACTGGCCCTTTGCCAATAAATCAAACTACATCCAAAATTGGGAAAAGAAGTAAAGGCAAAATTAATTATACACAGTATGAATTTGACAATGGACTTTAATAAAAGTAACAATGTATAAAGAAAGTCAGGGCGAGCTTGGGGGCTTTCCGTCTTCAGTAACACTTAGAAAAGCAATTCATTTACACCTGACAGGTAATACCTGTATCTCTCTCATAAGAGGCTCAATTTTCTTTTTTTTTTTTTAGGATTTATTATGTATACAGTGTTCTGCCTGCATGCCAGAAGGCACCAGATCTCATTATAAAAAACCATGTGGTTGCTGGGAACTGAACTCAGGGCCTCTGGAAGTATATTCAATGCTCTTAACCTCTGAGCCATCTCTCCAGCCCAAGTTTTCATTTATGTAAAAGTTGGTCTCCCTTCCAGAGGTATACAATAACTAGTCATACCAGAGAAGCTTGAGGGTCAGTAATAGCTTACACAAAATGCAGCTTTAAATAGTCCATGAAATTAGGGCACTACTACTTCTAAGCATCAGGTGAGAGGTTAAAATTTTATAGTATACATATTAAGGTAATAAAATAAATTATTATATTTATAAATATAAATGTATACTCAGTTAATGTGACAGATTCTAGGTCATGGTGCTATGATGAACTAACGCCACTTCAACAAGAACCTTACCTTCAGTAATAATGAAATCTAGTCTAAGAAACGCCCTACTTCAGATGCTGCTCTCCAGAAAACACTTCCCTTTGATGAGGTCACTAAACATGACTGAGCTTGTGTTCTAACAAAACATGCAACAGAGGACAATATTATGTTTATAAATATATACATACTTGAATGGGCTTTCAATAGATGTCGTTGTGACTTTAAAGTGCTTATATCTCCTGGCATTCATTCTTTCATTTGTAGTAATACCTAAACATGTTATCTAGGAATAAAGAAAAAGCAGTCTGTTATCCTTTGATTTTTTTTAAAAATTATTTATTTATTTATTATGTATACAATATTCTGTCTGTGTGTATGTCTGCTGGCCAGAAGAGGGCACCAGACCTCTTTACAGATGGTTGTGAGCCACCATGTGGTTGCCGGAAATTGAACTCAGGACCTTTGGAAGAGCAGGCAATGCTCTTAACCACTGAGCCATCTCTCCAGCCCTGAATTTTTAATATAAACAAAATTCTCAAGAGGTCTAACACAGAATAAAAAGACACAATCTGTGCTTGGTTTTTCATAGAAGATCATCAAGCCAGTTCACACAATATCACTGCAATTGTGAAAAGTAGCCAATTAAATATGAAAAGGTTAACTGGGCAGTGGTGGCATATGCCTTTAATCCCAGTACTTGGGGAAACAGAGGCAGGCAGACCTCTGTGAGTTCAAGGCCTGTCTAGTCTACAGAGCTAGTTCCAGGATAGCTAGGGCTATACAGAGAAACCCTGTCCTGAAAAACCAAAAAAAAAAAAAAAACCAGAGAGAGAAAGAAAAAAAAAAGTTACTGAACACTGCACATAAACCAACAGACATCATGAACACAGTTTCACAGTTTTATTTAAAATGAGTGGCGAGTAGCATATGCCTGTAACACCAACACTCAGAAGCTGAGGCAGGAAGATCCCAAAAACCAAAGAGAGGAGATTCCTTAAAGAGTTGAATAAATACTAGTATTTGTACATAATAAAACAGTGTCGTTAAAATGAAAATTAATAGTATCACAATGCAAGCTCACACATGTCCAAATGCCAAGTATTCTAAAAGTAGACTATGAGGGTGAAAGGAGGCAGAAAGAAAAAAGAAAAAAAAAAAAAAGGCAAACTGATCTTGAACAAGCCAGAGTGTCTAGAAAGAGAAATTTCACAAGTTTTATAGTGAACATACTAAAGAAAAAAGTACTTGCACATACCTGGTACATCTGACACATGAGTAACACGGCCACCCACATGAAATGAAACACACTGTTCAGAAACATCCAGAACATCCAAGGGGAGCATGTGGCAATCTGAGTAATGTATGTCCAAAAGCCATCCTTGGTGTATGTGGTCTCACAGTGAAGGCCCCAGTCTAAACTCAGGAGAGAGGTGACACAGTTACTCTTCTGCTCACCTCAGATGTTATGGTGACAGCGCTAAGGAACAGGATCTAACCATCTAGACTTAATTCATGACAGAATAGCAAATGATTTTATAGTCTTAGTAATTCTATAACACATCAAAAAATTAGCAGAGCAAAAACTAGGAAAAACAGCTGCCAAACTTAAGAAGAACGTCCTGCCTGATAAGAATAACAGCGTTATTCCCAGAGCTGGAGAGAACGTTGCCTTTAGACAAGATCCATGAGCTGGTTTTGGTGAATGGGGCACAGGAGTCATGACCAGCACCTCAGTAAGGTGGGGTGCCTAGCACAAAATCTGGGACCAAGAATTATTAATAGAAATAATGACCCAGGTTGGTAGGACAGTGTTCTCCGGTACGTATGTTGATCTGGATACTGGTGAGTTCTTGGACCAAATCTTTTCCTTCATCTCTATTTGGGGATTTTGTTTATTCTATCATTTTATTTATTGCTATTTCTGCAGGTGGCAAGTCTTTCTCAGATTGACTTTTAAACCAGGACCCAAAGCATCTCTCCGCTAGACCTGACATGTACAGAAGCTCAGAACCAGCATTTTATCTAATCTCGCAAAGCACTAAGTCTAGATAAAATGAGTGACAACCGATCTTTACAAAGTAACTCCTGATATCTGCTAACACAGCAATAATTTATACCATACTTTTCAAAGTATTTCAAGTTTATGCAAACTGATTTGTAAGTTTGCTTTCTCAACCGTTGAATGGGAAAGAAGAGCTACCACCACCACGGGATCCACCTTGGCTAGTAAACCAACAAGGGACATTCACACTAAAAGGCAGCTTGCTGAGCACTGTTTGCTTGTACTAGACACTGGACACATTTTCCTTCTTTTGTTATTAATTTTCAATAGAATTAATGTAATCTAAGTACACAAACATTTGTGTTTTAGGAAGGCTGAAACTACGTGTACTCACAAGAAATACAACCATAGATCATCCAGCAGATCATGAACAGCAAGAAGAACAGGTACCCCATAAAGTATCTATGGTTGCCTGCACCTAAAACACACAGAAGCAATTTATTGTAGTTAAGAAAAGACAACTGGTAACGCATGTTTACCGGGTACGCTAAGAAAGGTACAATACAACGTGGACAATTAACCACATACATATATTACTTATTCTGTAAAATGGCTTCCAAGAAACTTGTTTTAATAAAACTTTTAAAATAAGAATGCTTTGCAGTTACACTCACATGAGAGTATTGATCTCATTCTGAAGGCAAGGGAATCATCATACGTAACACAGAACCTAGTTATGGCTCTCAGTCCTACTCCTACGGTGTGAGGTCCTAATACACTGGTCCATCTCCCTTTATAACCCTTACAATCAAGATTTTTTCTTCAAGAGTCATGCAGTCTTTGTGACCATCTCCTTTCTATCAGCCCTTCAGTCTCCAAGGCCACCTTCTGATTACTGACTCAGTCCTCTCAGACTGCACCAGTAGCATAAAGTGTGGAATTCCTCTCTGCCTCTGCACATGCCTTCTCAGATATTACTATTGCCTTACTTTCTCCAGCTCAATGCTTAAAGTGTTACCTCCCTCGTCAGATGAGTTTCATTGTCCCTCAATGGGAAAGAAGACAGCGTTTGCACCATAAACAATGGACAGGGAGACAGTTAAGACCCTTCCCGAAGGATTTTTGCACACGCGCGTGCGCGCGCGCACACACACACACACACACACACACTATACACATACATGTATCTCAATGAGTTACTATATAGACAGCCAAAAGTTAATTTAGGAAGTGTGTGGGATGTAAGAATATCTAGGATGCTGGAGAGATGGCTCAGTGGTTTGAGAGCACTGGCTGCTCTTCCAGAGGATCAGGGTTCAATTCCCAGCACCCACACAGCAGCTCATAACTGCCTGTAACTCCAGTTCCAGGTGATCCAGCATCCTCGCGCAGACATACATGCAGACAAAACACCAGTGCATATAATGAAAATAAATAAATTTGAAAATGTTTTTAAAAAATAACTATATTTAAGTACTGTATTTCATTAGTCACCTAAAGTAACTTAAATTAACAAGTTACTTAGAGATTGCTAACACAACTTACCTACACAGTTACCCACCCACGGACAGTGATGATCAAATTTTGCTATGCAGCGGTTGCACACACCACAGTGTTTGGACCTCACTGGCTTCCGAATCTGTTAAGAGACATATTAAAAGTACTATGAAGAACACTGCATTAAAAAAAAAAAAAAAAAGCTGGCGTATGACTTTAATCCCAGCATTGAGGAGGCAGGAGCAGGCGGATCTTTGTGGGTTCGAGGCCAGCCTGGTCTACAGAGTGGGTTCCAGGACAGCCAGGACTACACAGAGAAACCCTGTCTCCAAAGCAAGACAAGAAAAACTCACCATTTCCATTTTCAAAATACAACTGTGAAAAGACAGCACTGTGTCTTTTGAGAATTATACAAACATGTCCAAACCAACACAACCAGAAAATTGCTGTTAATTTGTTCAAAACAAAATCTATAGCAACAATGAAGGTAAAACAGTCCATAATAAGAAATCTGAAAACAGTTCCTAAAAGAGGAGGAGGAAAATGGAGAATGACTGTATAAAGGTAACAGCTGGGCCTGAACCCTGTTCCTTCCGTGACTGAGAACTGTGCGAGACCCAACTCTCACAAAGTAAGAATAAAGACCAATTTGTTACAAGAAGTGATTACACAATTCGTATTGCTCACATTTCCAAATAATACAAACACCAGCCTTTCTAAAGCCTACATGAAAACTCATTTGAGTAATGGTCATGATGCTGGTTGCCGTTTTATTAAATACAAGTTTCTTTTGATAAAAGGAAGGCCATGTTAAAACTGAGTCAAACAGTAAAAAAGTAAAAGCCTTTCAAATTAGAAATCTTTAAAAGAAGGTGCCTTCCCCAAATTAAGAACTCTAGCAAAGAACAGCAGTGTTCTTGTTCACTGCCTTCTGCCGTCTCAAATGAGGTTCAACACTCCCCTGCTAGAACCATATCTAAGGAAGAAGATAAAAAAGGTCAGTAGTCACTCTTTCTTAACAAACAGCCATTGCTCTGGTTTTTACAAGCACTGAAACGCTATGTATAGCACCTCTCCCTGTATTCTGAACGCTAAATCAGCCGAGGGAACAAACAAACGTACAGGTGTTTGTTCTTCAAAGGTTCCAACTCCACTGCTGAAGTTATGACAAGCGCTAGAGCTATTAAGCCACAAGAGAAGCAAATGTCCTGAGATCCTTCACTGGTCATACCGGTGCTTCAATGAAAACACTACTGTTTCCCCACTACTTTGAATAGGTTAGATCCTATTCTGAGGTAGCCAGGAAAAAGTAGTAGGAAGCTCTTACACCAGTAAGAATGATCTGTGGACCAAATAAAAGGATGAGCTGTTCTTTCTCACAGATGTGACTAAATCTACTTAGAAGGCAGCAGGATGATCCCCCACTCCCAGCGCTCAGCTACATTGTCCCTTAGACAACACCACGTTAAAAAAAAAAAAAAAGCTGAGCAATTTGCTACAAAACAAAAACACCTGGCTTAATGGAGACTATGGAGGCAGGCAGGTAGGTATTTTCTGTCAGGTGGGGATGCCCCTTTTCTGACAGGAAAGGACAAGGACGCCCTCTGGTCTGGCCACTGGCCCCCTCCCTTCCTCTTGACAAGCATTATTCCCTAACCTTCCTTCCCAATGGGGCTTGTAGAAGTACTTATAGGTATTTATAGATTTCACTTTTCTGTCTGAGCCAGTAGTGGTTGTCATTTTCTAGGGAGGAAAAACAAAAACAAAAACAAACCCCAAGAACTACACTGGAATGGTGGTAGGAGAGAAGCCCAGAGAGACCCTCCTGTACTTGTTTTCCCCAGGACCAGCCTGAGGGATGAGACTTGAGGGGTGATCTCACCTGAGCTAGGATGGAGTGTGAGGTGCTGAAGTGTGAATGTACTAACCCCACCCTGGGCAGGGCGTGCTTTCAGTCCACACTGGCCCCTGTGGTACTTGTTGTTGGGTGACAGACAGAACCCAGCCCTCTCCCCCATCACACATACACATTATTGGGGCATTTCAACAAGAGTGAACCTTTCATTTTGTTTCTTTGGTTTGGTTTAATTTTTCTCCACTTTTTTATCTTGTGGATGTGTGCCCCCACCACACACACACACGCCAGCTTTTTCTAGGGTCCAACTGTCCCCAGCTGCCTGGTTCAGATGTCCACCACCTCAAATTGCATGTTTAAACTTGAAGGTTTTGGACATGAACATGTGTTGACTGTTGCTGCTAAGTGTGTGTACATATGTGTGTGTGTGTGTGTGTGTGTGTGCACGAGTGCATGTGCCCATGATCATGTATGTGTTGGGGGAGAGGAGTTTGGATCCCAAATTGAAGAGGCCAACAAAAGTAAAAGGAGAGAGGAGGAGGAAAGTGGGTGAATTTTTAAAAACTGTCTTGGATACCTATGTGTGTTTTAAGGTTTCCTTTTTAATGACTTTTTAAATGCCTGTGATGTGTCCAAGGGGCACAACAAGGCTCCCAAACAGGAGCCTACCCACAGTTCTTTCACCCCCTAAGAGATCTTAGCCCAGACAGCATTAACCACCCTTGTAAAATAATGTCTGAATGTGCAAAAGAATGCAGTCAGGGCCCAAAACCACTGCCAAAGCAGAGCAGTGTGCACTTCGAGCACTCATTTACAAATGGGAAATCAAGCTGTCTAAAACCTTTCTATAATCATAAGCTATATCAACTCCTTTATTAACTCATGTACTAGTATGTACTAATAACAACACCTTAGTTTGCTTGCAGCATATAATTTAAATGCATTTAGTTTCATGTATGATTTGACAGTGTTTAAAGTATTTTCACAAATACTATAAAAATTGAAGAGAAAATTTAAATTTAAAATGTCTATGATAAAAATAGTCATAACGATAACTGATTTCATAAAGAATACTTTCAAGTCTTAATGTCTGACGATTCAAAAGGTCCAATTTTAAACTTAATGACAATATAGTACTCCAAGTTGCACAGACACTTCCAAGTAAATACTCAAATTGTATCTGCTACAAGACTGTATTATCTGAAAAATAATCTATGGAATTTTTACACTGTAATTTTTAAACTCAAGATTTAAAAGCTGTACTCAAACTTTCAATTTTAAATAGTAGCAGGTTTTGCATTTTAAAGAATAAAAGAGAATGAGAACAGATATGAGCAGGGCTCTGTGTGCAGTCAGGGTCTGCTACCAGACACAGGCACACTCCAGGCAGACATTCCAGACTGCATGATGCATGGGGTGTCTGGGGGAGGAGGACTCTTTCCCATACCCAGCACCCCCTTCTATGTGAGATCCTGTCAGGAGGAGGAAAAGAGAAAGAAGAGAAAATAAATATTACCAAGCAGGTACTGCAGAATATACTGAGATCCAGACTTCCAGTCTCTGCAAGTTCAACTATTGTCTGTGAATTTAAAAAACAAAACACTTTTTTACTCAAAACTGAATGATGCTCACCACCTCTTTTGCTATTACTATGAATCAACATACATGCCATCTTTATCAATCTCTTTCAGCTTAAATAAGATATCCTGACTCATTCTTGCCATTTCATTACTGTATGAAAATCAAAAAACATCAGCACAATTTCTATACAGTCTACCAAAAGGGGAGGAGACCACAGCATTTGTGAAGGTCAGTTAATCATGAGCAGGAACGATTCATTAAGATTTGTTTCCTTTTCAAATGAGCTCTGACTTGTTCTCTTGTTTTGTGTTGAGATAGGGTCTACTGTAGGGGAGACAGGTGCCGAGATTACAGGTGTATTGCTCCCCACACCAGCTACAATTGCTCTCGAAATAACCTAAAATGCCTGGTCCAGGTCTACGCTGATGGTTTACATGAATTCAGCTTCAAAACCGTGTCATGGAAAAGGATGCCCTACATCAGTCACATACAGAGTACTCTGGCTCCTGGAATGGGGACTTAGTACTATCAGTTCACACAGCTTTCTAGTTTTACAGGTAATTCACCCAGAATCCTTTGGGGGTAGAGGTTAAAGAGCTGTTTCAGATGTTGATCTCTACAAACAACCAGAGCACCCTTGGTAATGGAGAGGAAGTTAAGTCATAAACTGTGAAGCCAGGCATAATGAGGGCACCAGGGTGAACCCCACAGAGAATATGGACAAGAACAGCTCTGCTTAAAATGCCACTAATTCTAAGAGCTTCCTCCTTTTTATCTAAGCCTCTCCTATCAGGGATGAAAAACTGGCAGCCAACTGGGTACATCACCACCTTTTTCTTTTGTTCTTCTGTAGCTTTAATAATCCCTGGGTCTGATTTCCAAGACTTTCCAAAATTGTAGAAAAGTGCAACACTATTAGCGAGGAAAGGAAGGTGAATAAATAAAAAGTTGAGATGTATCCAAAGTTAAGGAATCTAAAACAAAAGTTTTTACATAGAGGTTTATAATCCATATGGTGTTACCATACAAGAGCACCTATCAACCAAAAATGGTGAGCTTTTCTAAACCAAAATATATTTCCCATAGTGTTCATAAGTAAGCACAAAAAGATGAAATATGACTTTCTAATAAATTTATGTCGCAAAATTTTATATGATACTTCAAAAGTCAGTAAACATTAAAAAAATTCAGTAAGTCAATACTGCTTTTGAGAAAATGAAGGTATTTTCACATTCGAAGTTAGATACATACTTTTTTCTTGCACCAAAAATAGGAAACTTCAGATATCTGTGATGATTAGTGTCCCTATAAGGAAGTGTCCCAAATAAGGGATTATCTATATCAGATTGGCCTGTGTATACTTCTCTGGTGGATTTTTTTTTCTTTTTATTGATTTGTATTTATTTTCATTTGTGTCCCTGGGGGAGGTATGGGGGTGTGTGTTGTGGGGGGTTTTGTGTATGTGTGTGCACAGGTGCGCACGCGTTGTGTGTTGTGGGGGACTGTGCGTGTGAGTGCAGTGCTCACAGGACAGGTGAAGGCCCTGGATCCCCTGAAGCAGGAATCATGGGCAGTTGTAAGCCCCTGACCTGAGTACCAGAAACCACACTCTGGCCTTCTAGAAGTACAGCAAGAATAACCTGAGTCATCTCTCTAGCTGCCTAAACTACGTTTTACTGAAGGAGATCAAAACTAGGATAACAGCATAGTTATATACTTAAAGGGTGCACTTGACTACAGGAAAGACAATAAATTTTCTCCTTTGCCTTTTTTGAACATATTCAAGTTGATGTTAATTTTAGAAAACATATTTTTAAACCTTCCTAAAATACAGAGTTTTTATCTAATAAAAATACAACAAATGTACTAGGCATTTATAAATATAAAAGAATTAAAAACTATAAAAAATAAATTGCTAAGGCAGTAAGAGTCCTGAAATAAAGAATATCTGGTTTACTCAACAGCATTTTCAAGATGTGATGCAGAAAGAATTAACAAGATGTATATGCAGTGTTTATATTTCTCATGAAGGCAGTTATAAAAGGAACTTTAATGAAATAATCCTACATGTGTTTGAACACCAAACACCCACATGAAATCCAAGAGAAGCACAAAGGGGAAAGGAAAGGTTCACCATCAGCACTTGCTAAGCAATACCAAATTATAGCCCATTAGTGACACACTGCCTGCCTTTCACACCAGCACCAAGAAACGACTGCCAATTGTTCACGTGGAAAGCATTCTCTTACTCGCTCAGCTGTGGGCCTTTATGCCTTAGCATCCACAGTGAGAGAGAATGAACTCGAAACCGCTAACATTTCAGGGTGGCTGCGGCAGGTGATCCCAGCTCAGCCCTGTATCAGGAAGGAAACCTCAGGCAGAACCCTAACAGGCTCCTGCGCAGGCGTTCACAGCTAAGCCTTTCTCTTGGGCAAAGAAAAGGTGGCTGGAGGCAGCCAGGTAAGACGGTGAAGTGCTGTCATCCTGACACCAAAGTGGACAGAAAACACCAACAATCACCCTACAGCTGATCACAGAAAACACGAAAGTCTAGACAAATTCACTGCAGTTAATCACAGAGAAGATGAAAGACGAAGAGAAAAGGCATAACAATTACATTAGCATACTTTCAAGAAAATAAAATCAAAGAAGAGAAAGGTATATAGCAGCCATAAGCCAAAGAATCCAGTCTCAAAGAAAACACAACCTAAGGACAAAAGCAAATGAACCAACAATGATCCATAATTAAATCGAACTTCAAGGGCCAATGAGATGACTCCGTGGGTTAAAAGCACGCGATGTGCAAACATGAACCCCTGAGCTCAACCCACACAGCCCACTGGAGAAGACAAGAACCGGCCCCAGCAGTGGTCCTCTGACCCCACCAGACCATGGCAGGAACATGACCTGCTGTGCTCATACACAATAACAATAAAAGGTAAAGTTTAAGTTTAAATATGAACCCTACCAAATAATTTAAGGATAAGGCAGTAAGACAGATAAAAGGGGCACAACTAGAAGAACAACAATTGAGACCAAACAAAACAATTTTATAGGCATAAACTAAGAAAAAATAAACACACACACAGCATAAAAAGGCTAATACAGTCAGGCTGCCCTCAAACTCCCAATCCTACCTCAGCCTCTGAAATGCTGTGAGGAGAGGTGTGTGCTCCCCTTACCCAGAAATCTTCAATCTTAATGACTTCTTTCTGGAATAAAGATGAGTTTCTATCTGACTGTTCAATCTTTTGACTGCACCCCCAAGCTTCAGCAGAACCAGAGAGATGCACTCACGACCAGGCACTATGAAAACAAGTCTAGAGGTGACCTGGTCCCGAAACCTAGTGTCTGTCCAGTGGGTGTGCACTTACACCTGCATGTTCACAAGATTCACTTCTAAATGCCAACCTTACAAAGGTTAGAAGAAAATGCTCTTTTAAAAGTAAAAATGCTGATTTAAAAAATATATTGTTAGTGCTTTTGACTTTCAGTCAGTACATACTAAGGGTCAATGTCTAAGAAAGAAACCCAAACCAGTACACACACAGCCATAGCTACAAAGTGACGAGGGAGAACTGACGTGCACCAGGAGGAATTGCCAAGTACATCAACACAGCAGCAAACTTAGCAGTTCTCTCCAGTGCTGAGCTCAGGCATGAGAGAGCCACCTGGAGAGCCACAACACTCGGTCTCACGCGCAGAACGTACTGAAAAAGTACAGAGTACTCCTTTCGAACTTGAGTTAGAGGACAGACTAAGAACTTACAAAGAGCTCAGTGGCACAGGCCTACAGTCCAAAGTCCATGGAAGCGGAGGCAGAACGCCCTTGACAAGAGAGTTCCATGGAAGGCTGGGCAACATCATAAAACCTCAAAACAAAACAAGCCACATGATGTGGTAAACAAGTTCAAGTGTACTTACAATCCCAAATTATACTGTTTTAAAAAATAGGTTATGGCCTGGCGGTGGTGGCGCACGTCTTTAATCCCAGCACTTGGGAGGCAGAAGCAGGCACATGTCAGTGAGTTTGAGGCCCATATGGTCTACAAAGCGAGTTCCAGAACAGGCAGGCCTGGACTGTTACACAGAGAAACACTGTCTCGAATTAGACAAAAAAAAAGTTTTATGCTGGGTGTGGTGATACACACCTTAAATCCCAATATTTGGGAAGCAGAGGGGAATAGCTCTCTATGAGTTTGAGGCCAGCCTGTCTACCTAGTGAGATCCAGGACAGCCACCTGTTTCAAAAATAAAAAAATAAACAGTAATAATAAATTAGGATTTTATGTTGATAATTTGGTGATGTTAGCACATGATATATGCTGATACATAATAGTACTGTTTTTAATGAAGCAAAAGAGAGTCAGTATGTGTAAAAGGAAATTAATCACTACCTAAGTTTTTTTGTTTTTTTGTTTTTTGTTTTTTGTTTTAAAGTGAGATTAAGAAAATCCTTGTGGAATCCTACTACTTGGTTAGAAAGCTGAAACAGTAGGATTACCATGAGTTCAAGTAAGTTTGTGCTCTATGACAAGACCCCATTGCAAACAAGACTGGGGGAGGGGGTGGTCTTTAGAGAAAATAGTTGGATATTAAAGCATGGAAACTTTGATAGGAACTGTTTGATAAAAAGTTAAAATACTTTGGCAGCTTTCAATTCTAGTTTTACCAAAGACCATCTATATGGCCTTGGGATCCTAAGGCTTAAATTTTCCCATCAAGAAAAGGAATTAACACTGGCTTACAAGATATAGGCAAATGTTCATTTTTTTAAATTGATATTTATTTATTATGTATACAGTGTTCTGCCTGCAGACCAGAAGAGGGCACCAGACTTCATTATAGATGGTTGTAAGCCACCATGTTGCTAGGAATTGAATTCAGGACCCCTAGAAGAGCAGCTAGTTCTCTTAACCTGAGCCATGTCTTCAGATCTGGTAAATGTTTCTTAAAACTTAATTAACATTGGCTGATATTGTTTGTGGCTGTTAAAAACAGGTTTTAAAAGCAACCTGCTAAATATAAATACTTACAAGCATTATTTATATTAGTTCATGTTTTCCTAGGAATACTGCTTCACTGTAACAAATCACGAGCTCAGTCCTAATGACAAATCATCAAACATTTGCTTGGAAAGGGCTGTCATTTAAACACATCCTTTTACAGCAAAGGATATCATTCCAAAACCAGAAGAACCATGTCACATACATCCAGAATTTGGTTGCCAAATATATCCCAAGAGGCAATGCACTGTGCATCGAATGGTCAAAAAAGGACCTGTAAAACATACATTTTATAAAAAAAAAAAAATAAGTGCTAAAGTTCATTATAAAATGAATAGAGAATAAAATTACAAAGCCAAAGGTATTAAAATACTGAGATTGTTTTCATAGTAACAATTAGTTCGGCAAGATTCTCTTAACCTACCAAGAACTAAACTATATTTCACATACTTTGCGACTTTAGAATGTCAGTGTATCCCAGGTTGTTGCACTTAAGTCTACAGGAACTTCATCATCAGCACATTACTCAAGGACGTTACAGTTATGGCACACGAGGACAAGGCTGCTCAACCCTCCTAACCCACCCCATTCAGCTAAGGACGGGCACATCTTCTCAAGGAAGATGAACTGGCTGACTCACTGCAACTGCAGGCTTGTACTTCTAAAACTCCCTTAGGAAGAAATACTGATAAATGCCAGCACAAACAGAACCCTTTAACCATGCAGACCAAGTAGTCTTGCTGTTTTCCTACTTAATGGCCTGTCAGAGCTCCAGACTATCAGATGAACTAACCAGCTCCTTCTGAGAACTGACACCAGTGGATGACTAGTTCTCGAAAACTCCAGTGAAAATGAGATGCTAAATGAAGGCAAGTGAGGTAGAAGATGTGGGTCACAGACACCCTCCTGGGTTTGCTCAACAGGGCAACTTTTAGGGCAAAAAGACTTAATAAGAAAGGAAATGGTCAGTGCTTAAAGCAAGGAGAGAAAAGACTTTTAAAAGGCTAAGCTTGCTTCATGATTGTATAATGATAGTCCACTCTGTTAGTAAAGTCAGAGCCCACTGCTTTTAATGCCAATGAAGAAAGGCAATACCTATAGCAAAGTAGATATAATAATTACCTAAAAATCAATATTTTAACTATTTCTAAGAATATTTTAACTATTTTCACTTCAAAAATCATATGCTACAATTTTGTCATTAAAAGATTTTTTGAATAATTTTAATAATGCTAAAGACAAAGATTCACAAATTATCAATAAAGAATATTCTAAACATAGAAGATATTAACTTGACATAGCAAGGTACAAATTATGTTCTTTCATAAATTTCAAGTTAACAATAAGATACTTACTTGGAAAGAAACTGTACTGTAGCCCAAACACCACCATACATGAGCCCTTTAATGAGCCAAGAGTCAATATTTAGGTCTGCTATAAACCCAACCAGCCAAATAACCAGGAATGGAGTTCCTAGCATTACTTTCTGCCGAAATTCCTGTAAAACACAAACATTACAAAGTATTTGTATGTTTCAAATGACAACGTTAACCTCAGCTATCTTTATGAAAGTATGCAACCAAAAGTAAAATTCAGCCCTTCAAATCTCCTGTAGTGTTCAGGTAGTACACAAAAACCAACACCTAAAAAGGAGTTTTTTAAAATTGTGGAAAATAAGAATATAAGTTGAAATTATGGGATTGAGTTCTACACAGCCAGACATAAGACAACAAACAGTAGGACACATTAAGATGGCTAGGTAGAAAATAACTTATAACATTTTAATAGAGGCTTTGCTAACTACAATCAGAATGACCATATATGATCTCATAACTTTATCATGTAGTAGAAAACTGAAGATGCTTAACTTGGAGAAGGCATTCAAAACGGTATTTTAATAGCATATTAAAACTATAAAATGAAATAAAGAGTAAAAACAAGTTCACTGGGTAAAAGTACTTGCCACACAAATCTGACCACTTGAGTCTGATCCCTGAAACCTACGATGAAAGTGTGGAACTGATTCCCCAAAACTTGTCCCCTGACCTCTATACATGTACCATGTCTGTAAAGGTGTGTGGACATACATGCATGTGTATACATACACACACAAAACAACAAGAATCAGCAGGCTTTTCTAGACCACAGAATGGAAGAATAGGTTGTTGTGGGATATTACTTTGGTTATTTGGTGAGTTATGAATGTTCGTCATTATTTATGGGGGATATAGGAATATAGGATTAAAAAGACAACCATGAACCTGTTTTATATTGGTATGGATTTTTTGGCATATTGATACAAATTTAATTTTTGTACTTATGTACAAAATTAAATATACATACTGTATAGGTATGTCTATTCTTGTTTAAGGTATTGTACCTATGCAATTCATTTAAAAATATGATGTATAATTAAGAATGCAGGTTAGTAGAAAGTCATCTATATTAATCAAACTTAGGTATGTTTTCAAAGTTAAATACATTTTAGACAGATGTTCTTCAAATGCTTTAGAAACCTACAGAATATGGCATTTAAGATGTTTAATAACCTAAGGCTTTTCATGACAGTGAAACATGTCTGCTCTTAGTAGCATCAATCTACTTCATAAAAGAATGATGAGCATCAAAGAACCTCCATGTGGAGTTTGCTTTTACTTTGGCCAAGTTAGCCATTGGGCAGAGAAGCTGCTTTTGCCTTAACTGTTGAGAGTATGCTGTACAAACTGGACAAGCAGAACACAAAGGAAAGTGATGGTTAAACTTTGTCAAGACAATGTGGGACAAACCTTCAAAATTTCTGCCTCATAGGAAAATCTGCCAGATACTCTAGGTTTATAGACCAAAGATGGATGTCCCAACATTGCAGAGGAACCTTGGGTGACTGTCCAGATAGCCAGAAGTCTTTATTGTTCCTATAGTTTTATAAGTTGCTTGCTCTTGCACTTCCTGTTTACTCAGGTAAAATTAATCTTTCTGGGGTCTAGGATGGAGTTGAAGACTAGATAGTTATAATCATAGCTTTCTTTAGTTATGATAGAAGGTAAAGTAGGTTAAAAAAAACCTTTAGATTCACCAAGAGAGGATAAATAATGGAGTATTTTCTTTGAATTTGGCAAACACAAAATGGATTGTACATTGTAAATGTAATTCTTACTTGATAATTGATCCTGTAGTATATAGCTTTTCTGTGTTAAAGTTAAAAATCTTTCTTTTTATTTAGACAAAAAGGGGGAAAATGTAAAATATTACTTTAACTAGGCAAAGATATGTTACATTTGTTTGTGTTGTATTTGTTCAACAATGTAAAGATATGTTGCTTTGCCTGCCTAAGGCACTTGATGAGCCTAATAAAAAGCTGAATGGCCACTAGGCAGTAGAGGGATAGGTGGGGCTGGCAGGCACAGAGGATAAGTAGGAGGAGAAATCTAGGATTGGGGGCGGGGGAGGGGGAGACTACAGGCATCAGCTAGGCACCCACCAGCTGGATGGAGTAGAACATATAGAACATATAGAAAGAAAGAGAAGCTCTGAGGCAAAATGTAGATGAAGAGAAAGAGGTTAAATTAAGTTATAAGAGCTAGCTAGAAATGAGCATAAGAAAAGGCCTAATAATAACTAATAAGTCTCTGTCATGATTTGGAAGATGGATGGTGGCTTAAAGAAAAGCCTGTTACAACAGGCTCTGAACACCTATCAAGTCTGTGCTCAGAACTCCAGGGGTGCTTCTGTATCATTTGTAGACTGAGCTCATTATTGGAAGTCCACACTTGTAATATACTAACACACATACCTCTCGGTCATACCTATCACAATTATACCACCACAGCAATACTAAGTAGCACTTATTGTCTTATTTACAGAATAGCTCTTCACAAACTTCCATATCTTCCTTGACTAATCTTAGGTGACAAAACTACATAAAGATGCCTAGCTATGAATTTTCTTCCCTTTTTTTTTTTTTTGAGACAGTCTTATGGTGTAGCCCAGGCTGGCCTCAGCCTCACAGAGATTTGCCTGCCTTTGCCTTCTCAGAGTACTGGCATTAAAGACCTAAGTCACCACATGTGGCTTCCATGTGATCTAACTTTCATGGTATGGGTACATCACAGTCTGTTCAATTATTTACCTACTGAAGAACATCTAATTGTCTAGTTTGGAGTCACTATAAATAAAAGATGCAATAAACAGTGGCATATAGATTTCTGTGTGAGCTTAAGTTTTCATGCCTCTGCGATAAAAGCAACTCTACACTATATGGATCACAAGTTGTTTTCTGCATAACTGTATTACAATCTCCCCAGCAACATTTGAGCAATCCAGTCTTTCTGCATCATCAGATATGTCTTTAGACTTTTTTCTTATCTCTCTCTATGTATGTACATACTTGAGAGAGTGCATTTTGTTATGTAGCCCACAATGGCCTAGAAGTCTTGACCCTCCTATCTCAGCCTCCCAAGTGCTAGATTACATACACCTTTAATCCTAGAACTTGGGAGGCAGAGGCAGGGAGATCTCTGTGAGTTCAAAGAAAGCCTCATCTATATAACAAGTTCTAGGCTATCCAGGGATGTACAAACCATGTCTCAAAGCTACTGAAGGAAAAACAAGAAACCAAACTCCTAAGCTCAAGTCACTATAACACACACTGATACAATTGCAGGACAGGACGAAGGGCTCTTGCATATGTGTATGTGTATGTGTAGAGTATGCAGGTGCATGGGTCAGCTGTCTTCCCCTATTGTGTTCTTCCTGACGTACCGAGTCACAGCCTCCTCACTGTTCTGCTGTTCTGACTAGTACAGCTTGTTCCATGGATCCCCTTCTTCTGGTGTATTGGGATCATGGGGTTGTGGGATGTGATTCTAGGGATCCAACCTCCAGCCCTCAGACTTGAGAGACAAGTACTTGACTTGCTATGCCATCTCCCCAGCCCTTGAAACTCTTTCTCTCACTTTTAAGATTCACTTTTTATTTTTTAATTGTAAGTGTCAAGAAGAAGTAAATGACTGCAGCTGTCTCTAGAGGCCAGAGGGGCTGGAATTACAGGGTGCTGTGAGTTGCCCTATCAAGCACTCTGCAAAAACACTGCGTGTTCTTAATCACTGAGCCACCTCTCCATCCCCCAAAGCTCTCTTTTTACAGAGAAACAATACCCAAATATATAACCTTAAATATGGTGGTAAGGAACTTTATATATTAATATATCATCATCTTTAAATTAAAAGTAGCTTTCATCTGACCCTATAGAAAAAAATAAAAGTTTGGAATATTTACATTCAGCAAAATCAAAGATTATAGCACTTTCTAGAGTAAGTCAAGTTATTCTCACCACTAGACTAATTAGGGCATGGTGTGGAACAAGGTGTTCTAAAGTATGGAAGACAGTGAAATTAAATTAAGTAAGTTTCTATATCAGCTAGTGAATGACTGAAAGTGTTAACAAGGCACGAAAAAAAATTCATTATCCTTCTCTGTGAAGTTACAGAACACAAGTGTAAGTTAACAAACTCTAAACACAGCTATAATCACATCAATGGGATGGACAGGGACATTCCACTTGATCAGGGAACTTGAATTTTTATACACAAATGAGCTTCTGCTTTCAAGTGTACCACACTTTCATCAAAACGTCTGTTTCTGTCACACTGCAAATGGTCACATGAACCTCTGTGTATTTTAGTACTGCCACTACTAATACTCCATTTTCTGTCAAATTAATAACAAAGAACTACTAATATCACTCACATGACTATTGTCAAGCTAAAAAATACTGCTATTATTTAATTATTTAAGCACATTTTTTTAAAATGCCAGTTAAGTAATATCTTCTTTTTTACTGGAAATGATGTTTTCTAAGGAACACAGACTCTGTGTTTAGGAAAATGTTTTCAAATTTTAAAATCCTATTATAAGAAGACAGTTAAGCCAACAGTCATAAATTTTAAAATGAAGGCTTGTGGAAGAAAATGGACTTTCTATGAAACAGCCCACAATGGAAGCACTCTCTCTCTACGCTACCCTGTTTCACAAAGAACAAGCAGCTCAGCTCATCAGACCACAGCACTCACTTAAAGACTCACAGGGAGACTGAGATGGCCCACAATGTGCAGTCTGTCACATAAGCAAATGCGCATGCACGTGGAATGCTTTCATCTACAGGACCCATCCTCCTTGAGTATCATACAACACAGACAAGAAACTGCTACGTACTCCATTTTATCCTTTAAACATTACAGTGGGGAATGTAAAAATTAAGGTATTTACACCAAGTAAGCTACAGACTGAAGACTGAAAGCTTTTCAGCCTCGAGTTACCTTATCGGCCTTCAGCTTTCTAAGGAAAGATGGGTTGTCGTACCCTTTCGCTTGCCTTGCCTCTTGCAAATGGTTGATCATCCACACGTTTTTTCTTTGCTTTGCCAAATCAAGTGCTGATTCACCCTGGTAATGTAAATAGAAGATACTCACATTAAAAAGAAAGCTAATATTTTCATTAATAGCTTTTAAAGAAATTCCATTAAAATAAATTGACTAAATTAATTTGGTTTCTGACATCATATAAATCAATTTAAAATCTAAATCATTACATACCTGTTATCATTTCCCATTCAAAACACAACAGGAAATACATTTTTTCATCTTACACTATAGACTCTATTTTTGCTTGCATTTTGACAAATTAGAGAGCAAATCAAAAAGTAGGTATTTTAGGACCTGCTGGATCAGAGGCTATCATTAAGCTTTTCAGTTAGGCACAATCCTTACAGCTTCACTAACAAGGAAAACATCCTCACACTGTACCAAGTTGTCAGAAGTCTGCTTTACTTCAGTGATGGTGGGAGTCTTAAGAGATTCGGGAAGAAAAGGCAAGTCAACTTCTACTTCAACCACTGTCCTGGCATTCAACCTACAGAAACTCGTCAACCCACAGAGGAATTCCCAGAGAGCAGGAGAGCAATGGGAAGGAATCACTGCATCCCGGCTAGAAGCTACGAGGTCCTTTAATACTCAAACAAGAATGCCAGGAGTGCAGTAACAAGTAAGAAACAAGAAGTACACAACTTAGTCCTAGATGCTCCTTTTAACTTTTATTAATTTAAATTTCCTACTTCTTTTGTAAATTAGACATCTACATTTCTGATCTATTTAATGTCCTCTATCTGATTCTTTAAATAAAAAAGATAAAACTGCCAAAATTTGAAGAATGATCCTCAAATTATTTTTTTAAAAAAATTGAAATTTTACTTCAAAATACTGGATTAAAAGAAAAGGAAAACAGGGAGTACTAAGGTACTTATTAAGTACAGAACACAGTTTAAAAAAAAAACAAACAGAAATCAAGCATAACACTACCGTACAGCAACAAAGAACTATAAACAAACAAACAACAATAAATTTCTTTCAAAAGCTCAAGAAGATTTTTAATACAAAACCCAATGGTATTTAATAAGGAACGGGCTAATCTAGGTGAGCCTTCCACAAATAGGGATCTTTATTTTAGATATTCCTTGCTTATTCCAGAATTCCATCACCTAAGTTTTCAGAACCAGCTAATTAATCCAAACTATAAATATTACCTGAATAATAGCAATCCCTTGGGTAACAACTCCCAGAATATCCTGCAGTTGCCTCGGTCCAGCTGAGCACCCCTTCCACTAGAGGGCCATGTGACACCTAAGGATTGCCTAGACAGAAAGATTGAGGGAGCTTTAAAAACCTTTCAACTCCTCTAGTCATCTGACCATGTTTGTATAGTTCTTTTATTCAGCTGGCAAAATAACCAAACAATTCAAGAGTTGTACTAAAACCAGGGTTCAGAATCAAGTCTATATTAGATTACTCCATGTTGCAGCAAAAATCGTTAAGTAATACTAATAAATGTTCCATGAGGAAGAAGTCACATGGAGTATTTATAGACTATGTCACTGGTGTAAACAGCATTTTTTCAGGGGTTTTGGTCAAATAACCATGGCTAAGATGGAAGATCACTTGAAGTTATGCTTTGGTGGGGCTGAATCTCACTGTCAAAACTAACACTAGTTAGAGACCATCGAGGTCCAGGTATTTGTGAACTAATGAACAACTACATTCTCCAAGGATTCTCACCTCCTCCCAAGAAGCTTCAGGAGACCTCTGTCTACTGACATCCTCTGACAGTTTTAGAAAGAAAGGACTGGGCATGCTTAGGTCACTCAGGTCAATTGTTCTTCCCAAATTAAAATTTCTAACTTTATGTATATAACTACAACTGCATGATAAAATCTTTAAAAATTAACAAATTTGTTTCTTCTTATTCTTAAAACACAAATTACTTTTTTACCCTATGGTTAATATTGAACCATAACTTTAGTGCTGTGGTTGTAATATTCTTTTGATACTTATCCAATGAAAGCCAAAAATCTTCTTCCCCACCAAAATGCTGTCATAGAATATTTTAAAAGTCTAAGGGTTTATGAGTCTATGTCATCCTAGATCTTTGTGAACCTAATCTGGTGTATTTGGCTACTTCTTATCCTTTTAAATATCAACTTTAAAATATTTTAAAGTTATCTATTGTTAAAGTAATCTTCAAAATAAGTTGTCTTTTTTGATGGAAGAAATTTGTTTTAGATAAAGGAATTTAATTCCTTTCCCAAACAAGTAATTTACAGAAGCAATTTCTAGTTAACCTAGATATATTTAAAAGAAACTTAATCTTGTTTTTAAAATAGTTATTTCAGGAAAGGACTGAATAGTTAAATAATTATAGCACAGAAAATGTTTTTGATCTTGGCTGAAGAATACAACATTTTATAGATTTAAAAATCAAATCAAGATTTGCAGCTACAGCCTACCCTTACAATTCAATTTTATTTTATATTTTTAAAGATATAGTTATTTTATTGTATGTGGATTAGTGTGTATATATACACAACATGATTGCCCGGGTGCTTGCCAAAGTCAGAAGAGGGTGTTAGGTGCCCTGGAGTTAGAGTTGGTGCTGGGAAGTGAACCTGGGTCCTCTACAAGAGCATCAAGTGCTCCTAACTTCTGAGCCATCTCTCCAGCCTCTAAAATTCGTTTTTATTAAGAAGATCTTTCCTAGTATTTAAAATAAAAACAAATAAATATTGTCAAAACTATGAATAAAGGATAATGTTGAGGCTTTTCAACATTTGCAGTGACCTAAACAATGAGCTTTCTCCTGCACAGTGAAAAGGCACCCTTCATGCAAAGCTCACAAACCAGTGAACCTCTATCTCGCTCAGCTCAAAACAGGACTTTCCTTCAGCACTCACAGCCTCAGCGCGTGTCAGGAGACAAGTCAGCTAAAACAGAAGCTGCCTCACCGACTCTCAAATATAGTCTACCGTGTCTCCCCTACACAAAAATATTACAGATATTATCTCAAATCCTTTCAGTTAGTTCCATCTCTACTCCTTGGCTAAGCTAAGAAAAACCACCAGTCTAACGGACTTTCCAATCTCTCCATTATCTTAATGATTCAATGACTCCTTCAACCAAAATTGTCTCTAAGACAAAAAACACATCCTATGGCAGTCTATACACACCCTCCTGTATCCTAGGACTTGAACAACGATTAAGCATCTAATCTGAGCATTTATACGCCTCTCAAGTTGCCTCTTGCTCACTGTACTTCTAAGCCAAACCCAGCTAACACCCCTAAAACTCAGCATCCAACCCTCCTAGGCCTTGCAGTGTTTGTAGTTCTTCACATGGAAAACCTGCTGACCATTTATCTCTGCAGACTGATTCCTTCTCTTCATAACATCCACGAAAACATCATCTCCGAGGAATTCTCATAATATTGCTAGCACCATCTCAGCCCTGCTACTCAACTGCAGCTGATCATGAATTTACTACTTTATTCTTCAACAGAATGTATGTTCTGAGACAACACAGACCTTAATCTGTCTTGAACATTGAGACAACCTACTAAAGAACCAATATTTACTGAATGAAAGGGAAAAAATGGTTTCTATCTGAAGTGGTGACTAACACTTCAAGTATACAGAGAATGACAGATCCTAATAGAAAGAGCATTTCATTCTTATTTTCTCCCTTTAACTGTATGAAAAGAACATTTAGAAACAAAAAACTCTTTCTTAGTAAAGTGGACAGAGATATTTTTCCCTCAAAGCTATAAATGTTGCTTGAGCAAATGAATTATTTCCTTTAGCTAGACTGCTCTCCAGAAGGCGTTACAAAGCATTACTCTTGATCACATTGCTAGGCTAGAGTGTATAACTCAGGGGTAGAATGCTTGCCTAGCACGCATGAAGACCTGGATTCAGTCTCTTATATGAGTATGGGGACTTTTTCTTTTTAAACAATAGTCAACAATAGGCAAAAGGGAATCTGTGCCAGATAAAATAATTTAAAAAGGCATGAGTTTAAACAGAATGTCTATAGGCACATTAGTAAGATCAATCATTTGGCACTGTAGACTCTACAAAGTATTCTAATCTTGGTTCCATATAGGTAATAAGCCTGAACATAAAGTACAAAAAAGAAAAAAAAACCTAAACATTATGTGAATACTTTCAAATACCTCTACTCTTATCATTACCTTTTTGTTGAAATTCATTATAAACGTTTCTATCTTACCAACATTAAAGGTTTATGCAATGGTTGGTAGGGACCACAACTTTTCATTAATTATTTTAGAAGATGTTAAAATTTTCATGTTGCAAATACGTAAAGAGCACGACTGAATTGTCCTATCGTTTTATGTAAATATAGCACTGGTTTCAAATTACAGAACCATATAGCCATCTTGCTTTCATAATTATTTGGTATACTGCAAGTCAAATGCATTAATATGGCAATTAGGAAAAAGCAAATTGAAATTAATTGCTTACAGAAATTGGTTCTTTTTTTTCAGTGATGTAAGCAATATCTTGAAATGTACTTCTAGTACATGAACCTCAAGACTGGACATCTAGAAGTCAAAGAGAGTGAAATGGAAAGGAAGGCAATTGATAAAAGAAGGGGAATCCTTCTTTTGGCCTGGGCTAAGCACAGTTCACTAAAGCCAGTGCTTTAAAAGTCTTTTGCAAAGACAAACATTTCTCTAACATTTCTAAAGTAGCAGAACAGTACACTGGCTGTCATAAATGTCAGTTTAAGCAAAACTGAAGACTATACAATCTTCACTCTTTTAGCCAACAGATATTTGCTAAGTACCCATCCCATGTCAGTATTATGGAATACCAACTTTCCCTTTTACACGTGTTTAGTGAACCATTCTGATTATCCTGGGTAGGAACAAGACTTAGAAGTTTAAAAAGTAGAAAGAAAAATCTATCAAATTTATAGTTTATAATATTTAAACTAAACTCAAAATTTGTAATTAGACTATTTCTAGAAATTCCCTAAGCTATGAAATAAAAGTTTAAAAAAAAAAGACGGTTCAAGCCATTTTTAATAGACTAAGCTTCTCTTCTTAAAGTAACCCAGTAAAGGAAGAAGTTTCACCAGAACATAAAGAGATGCCTTGATCCAGCAAGAGGTACCCACTTTTTGATTCGCTATTGCAGGTTAGTATTAGCTTAAGCTCCCTTTACATTTAATTAGCATATATCCTTTATGCATTTATAAAACATGGCTCAGAAAATACTACATATTACAGCTAATCCTTAAGAACAGTTTTCAAGACAGTGATTCCTGACAGTATTTGTAGCTATTCTGATTACTGCTAAAGGACACAGTGGATCATAAGCCTTTAAGAATGCAAAAGATGAACCAAAAACTTGAGAACCAACTTTTGACACTTATTTATGCTGCGTTTGCATGTACATGAACATATGACACAGCACATGTGGAGGCTGGAGTGCAACTTGAAAGCGGTCCCTTCCACCATGTAATGAAGGGAGAACTCGGGTCATCAGGCTTGGCAGTCGGTGCCTCTTGCCCCGAGTCATCTTGCCAGTCCCTCGTAGACAATGTATGATGCCTATAAATTCCCCAAATTCAAGTGTACATACTAAATTGTACTTGGCTTAGTACAATTAATTCTGTGTACTTATCTTGGGTTAACTTGCGATATACTCTATAAACATCACAAAAGTTTTTTTAAATCGAATTTAAGTCTTATTCTTTAAAGAAATAAGTTACTAAAATGACAAAGTCAAAGAAATACTAAATACTAGAATTTATTATGAACGATGTCTCTCCTATGGCTGTTAGATGGTGTGAAGGTATGATGGCATGCAGGACGGTCAGAGGACATCTTTGGGGAGCTGACGCTCTCCTTCCACAGGGATGGCTTCTGGGAGTCATTCACCTTAGGTGGCCAGCCTTTTACCAACAAGTGATTTTAGCAGCTGTGACATTCTCGGACGGGATAATGTGTTTTGTAACTAAAAACTTACAAGCAACAATATTCTTAAAAACCAGAAAGCTATTATCCTTCATTTATTAAAGTTACAAGCATGTAATTTTTAAAATCCAGTACAATTCCCTAATAAAAGGCCACCTAAAACTAAAAATATTTAAATATAAGATGAAAATATATGACTCAAGTTTTTAAAACAAATTATTTCACAGTTGATTAATGATTAAACTACAAAAAAAGTTCTCCTAATGTTCAGTCTTAAAAAGGCAAACAAGAAAACCACATGCTTTATGAAGAGACTCCTATCAGTGTCCTCCTCCTCCTTCAACAGCAATATGTATTTACCTTGACATTTTGGGCGTCCACATTCCCTCCAGCTTCAAGAAGGAGACTAATGACTGTGGTGTTCCCTGCTAGAACTGCCCAGTGCAGAGCAGTGTTTTTGTGATACTTGTCACCAAGGTTAACTGAAACATTGAATGTTAAAAGCAATCTAGTTGGATCCACACTGAAAAGGAAAAAAACAAACAAACAAACAACAACAACCCTAATTTCAATTATCGGAATCATTACAAAGACTACACTGATTGTGGCTGCATTTTCATTCCATCCTGGAACACATCTATTCTAACCTCTTAATATTACAATTAATAATTAAATAATGTGCCACCCTATATAAAGTAATATGGTGCCAAGAGACAGCATACTTGGTCCCAACTTCCCTACTTTTAATCTAAGAATTCATGTTATTAACACCTACACATTTAAAGAATAAAACATACTTCATTCCAATTCAGACTGATAAAAAATGATTTAAAATAACTTAAAAGTGAATACATAAAACTTTACAGTGTGATAACATGAAAAGGTAATTACCTAAAAAAAAAGTCAACTGTTCTTGCCCTCTCAGAATTAAGAGGCTTCCTTCTGTTCTGCACTAGTCACTACTGCAGGAGCTTTCCAGAGCACTGTGTGTAGCATCTGCTGCTCTCTAATCACGTGTCTCAGAGTGTTATGCTGAAGTGATGGTTACATACCTATGTGTTCTATAAGCTGCCCACATTAAAGGCGTCATTCCGTTCTGATCCATCATATCTACATCCTGATAATAAAGACAGCAGAATTTTAAGATCCTAACCAAAACTAGTTGAAAACATCTAATTTATACATTATACAATCTGAAACATTACTATTAATCAAGAATGCTTCCTGAAAACTTCTCTCTTAACTTTAAACTGAAACTAAGTTCTATGACTAATTAGTCTAACTGGTTTACAAATTATGCTTTCAGACTTCCCCTTTAATATTTTATATTCAAAGATCATTTAAAGAATATTTAACATAAAATATAAAAAGAACATTTAATGTAAAATTTACATTTAAAAAACATTTAATGTAAAATGTTTTGTATTTAAGATATTTTAGAATTCTAAGTGGTACTCAAACACTATTATTACACAATCTTAAAAGACAATTTTTACTAATCTTTCACAAGATGAAATTTGCTATGTGATATTGTTTTGCAGTTTTCATTTTCCAGAGGGAAGAAGATATATAGTTTTATATCTTAATTTCCTTGACAATTTTTAGGTATTTATAAATATTATACCCATTAAGTCACACAATATTACGTCTAAACACTTTAAGTATGTATTGCTTTTTCATGTAGAAAAATTACTCAGGAAAAAACTAATTTAAAAACTTAGACCATCATATTTTATCTTTCATATATTAAAAAAAAATACCATACTGCTGATCTTTGATCTTTGGGTTACTTTTTTCCTCGAGGGTCACTCTATTTTGTGATGATGTCTTACCCTGTAGTCCAGGCTGGCCTGGCATTAACCATGCAGCCCCGGCGGGGCTCAAACTTGTGGTAGTGTTACTTCCTGCCTCTCAGCCTGCCAAGCAGTGCCAACACACCCAGCATTGTTTGATTTGCATGCATCTGTGTGTCCCCCTCTCATTTGTGCGCTTGATATGTATGCCTCTACAAGCACATTTGTCCACATCTGCTGGTGTAGAGGCCAGAAGAAGGTATCGGCTGTCTTCTTCTAAAGCCACCACTTGATTTCCTGAGACAAGGACAGCTAGAGTAATGGCCCCAACAGCGGGACTACTTCCACAGCCCAGCTTCTACCTGTGTGCGGCAGTGTGCTCTACAGGGAGCCACCACACAGCTTCATTCCCTTGATATTCTTATAACCTACCTACTTCCCCAAATTTTAAAAAGACTAATGAAATGATCCAAAATTCCAAATCAATTACATTAACAAAAAGATAATGGACACTTGAAATTTTATATCATTTTTTCTTTCCCAGCTAAAAGGGAAAAGAAAAATAAGTAAATATAAATTCTCAAGCCTTGGTATGAGAAACCAGAATAAGGATAATCTCCTCTGACAGTTTCCAAAGACGGTTCCTATAGTATTCCCCTTCTCATGCTGCACTGACATCGCCCACACTGAACACAAGGCAGAATGCCCCAGCTTCAATGACAGAAAGTTCAAGTCAGCAGAACTGTTGTGCTCTTCAGGGAATTCTGAGGCCCCACATAAGAAGTCTACTTCCTTGTTGAAGAGCGGTATTGTAAAGTTTGGACAATGCATCAAGGAAGGCAGAGGGCTAGCTGTCCCAGTATCCCAGCTAAGAACAGGCCTCTAGCTATTTGTATCAAAACACAAGAAATATATACATGACATATTCTGATTTTAATACAATCAGAAAAAAAAGAAGCAGAAGAAAACCTAGGGGTGTTTCTCTTAACAAAATGTATTTATTATAAAAGCATGCATAACAAGACAAACAGGTATATAATTAATATAATTAATGTGATTTTATGATGCACACCAAGAACCTAATCCCAAGGATCCTGACAGAAACTGCACCATTTGATGCAGCAGAAAAAGGAAACATGTTTTGTTTTGTTTCATATTAAATCATTCTCCTCAAGAATATAAAACAGGGGGCTGGAGAGATGGCTCAGTGGTTAAGAGCACCACCTGCTCTTCCAAAGGTCCTGAGTGCAATTCCCAGCAACCACATGGTGGCTCACAACCATGTGTATTGAGATCTGGTGCCCTCTTCTGGCCTGCAGGCAGAGCACTGAAAATACTGTATACATAATAAATGAATGAATGAATAAATAAATCTTTTTAAAAAATAATATAAAACAGAATATAAAATTAGCTTCAGCAGTTTACAAGAATTCCGACGACAAGTTCCAATGTTTGCGAGTTTGAGGTCAACATGACACAAGCTAGGGTAATTTTAGGAGAGGGGCCCTCAACAGAGAAAATGTCTCCAGACTTGGCTGTGGTCCATTTTCTTTATGACTGATTTAGGAGGGTTCAGTCCACTGTGGGTGGTGCCACCCTGTGCTGATGGCCCTGGTGAAAAGCAGGCCGAGCAAGCCATGAGGCATGAGCCAGTAAGCAGTGCTCCTCCATGGCTCCTGCATCAGCTCCTGCCTCCAGCCTCCTGCCCTGACTCCCTTTAATGATGGACTGTTACCTGAAAGGGTAAGCAAAATAAACGCTTTCTTCCCCAAGCTGCTTTTGGTCTTGGTGTGTTATCACAGCAACAGGGACATTAACTGAGACAGAAACTGTACCTGCCTTGGGGTACTTCTGTGACAGACCTGATCGTGTTTGGGAGCCTGTGGTGATACTGTCCTCTGTGATGGAATAGTTGTTGAGCACTGAGAGCCTCAGCACTGAGGCTGTACTGTGGGAGCATGGAAGATGAGAATGTTCAAAAAATATAAACAATGGAGGAACTTCAGATGAAGTTCTACGAGTCCCTTAAAGAACCTGTAGGGACATGCAACATTTTAAAACTCTGTGGTTCTACTCGGCTGGAGCTGAACAGCTGGTTGTGGTTAACAAGAGATCAGCACCATGGAAGTGAAAGCTTTGTTTTACTAGAATGGTTTATTTTGGTTAGTTAGAGCTGAGAAATTAGCAGTGATTAAGAAGAGCCCAGCATAATGAAGGTAGTAAATCTAGGAGTGTGTCCTCAAGATCAGCACACAGAAACTATGGTCTAGAAAAGACTGCGGTGCAATCTTACACTGGCAGCTGAACTTAATAGTCAAAGATGGTGGCCTACCATGCAGGTGGTAATAGTTTTGAAGGCATGGAGGGGTCACAGAGAACAACTGAGGCTTGGCACTGTGTGGCAGGACTGGGGACCCTGAAGTGAGGCCAGAAGAGGCTGGTAAGTGCGGCCCAGATGCACCAGAGACTACAGCACTTTAGAGATGGACGGCTGTGCAAAGTCCGTTGAAGGAGCCTAGAAAGGTATGAGTGGATCCCAGATGTCCAACCTGCGCTCTTCACACTGACTGCTAGACTCTGGTTTTGCTTTGTTCAGGGGTGACTATACCCTAGTTCTTACTATCTGGAGTCTGAAAGTCTTTAACTTTTTTTTTTTATTATTTTATTGGAGCCTGAAGTTATGCGACCTTGGATATCTAAGAGAGTGTTTAGATATTTAAAGAGACACAACTACTAAAGTGTGAAATTTTTAAAAGACTGGGATTTTGGAAATTTGGAATACGTTTTATATTGTGATAATATTAACATGTTATGTTGGGGACAAATGAGAAAGAAAAGGTTCTAGTTGAACTGTGATAATTCTATGTCAAGCCAACAAAGGGTTGATTGTGCTGGTTAGTTTATGTCAACATGACATAAACTACAGCCAGTTTGGAAGAGGGAACCTCAATAAAACAAAATGTTCTCATCAGACTGTCCTGTGGGCAAACCTGTGGTGCGTTTTCTTGATCAATGATAGACAGGGGAGGGCCAAGTTCACTACGGGTCGTGCCACACTGGTTGTCCTGAGTGTGCTAAGAAAGGCTGAGCACACCACGAGGAGCAAACCAGGGAGCAGTGTGCCCTCCATGGCTCTGCACCAGCACCCGCTCCTGACTCCCTCTAAGGATGGACTGTGGTGTGAAGTTGAGTAAACTAAAGCCCTTCTCTCAAAGTTGCTTTCAGTCTTGGTGTTTTATCATAGTAATAGAAATCCTAAGACAATATTTAAGGGAAATAAAGGAAAAAATTAATAGATTATGAATTTTTCCTTACTTTCCACTATTTATTTCTCACACTTATAAATTAAAAACCAACTTAACAGAATATTATCTAATTTGAGAATATATTTCCTTTTAAGTACACTAAAAACTCATCAAAATAACTACATTTATTTACTCTCTTCATACACCAGAAAACAGTACTTAAGTATTTCCAGGTATTATGAATGTAATCCTAAGAATAGCAGATATTTAAGCCATTAAGAACATCTAATTAGGGGCTGGAGAGATGGCTCAGTGGTTAAGAGCCTTGCCTGCTCTTCCAGGGGTCCTGAGTTCAATTCCCAGCAACCACATGGTGGCTCACAACCATCTGTAAAGAGGTCTGGTGCCCTCTTCTGGCCTTCAGGCATACACACAGACAGAACACTGTATACATAATAAATAAATAAATAAAATATATTAAAAAAAAAAGCATCTAATTAAAACACACGCTATTAGGACTTTTTTTTTTTACCTGTCCTTTTGCTATAAGATAAGCGACAATTGAGGTATGTCCGAACTGAGCAGCCAAATGGATACAGCTGCATCCTTCCCCGTCAATTAATGAGGGGTCTGCACCATATTTCATTAGTTGCACAACCATGGATAAATGGCCTTGTCTAAAAAATAGAAAGACAAACATTTAAACAAAGTTATTTCAAAGACAGTCTTGTGGAAAGAGTACACTTGAGAAGGTAATGGCGGGCAGTTAAATCATGTATTTTATGAAGCTGCTTTAGAATAAGACCTTTAAATTAGTTTATGGTTTTTGAAAGCTTTAAATGGAACAAAAGCCTCGATAATTTAATGAAAACAATCTTAACTTCTCCTTAAATATCATAATTACTATGTTAATTTCATTCCAATATAACCCTAAAAGTCCCAAGAACTAACCTGTTTAACTGTAAACACATGAACCCTTCCAAAGTATTACATTTACTAATCCAAAATGTAATCAACTTTTAGAACTGGACTAGCTCGCTTCCCTGAGGACAGCTTGTAACTCTGTTTCCAATGAAGACAACACGAGGCAGCAATAAATACACAATTAACTATATCAAGTTCAGGCATATCATTAAAAACAAAAGGTAAAGGAGCCAAGGGGACGGGTGAAGTAGAAGTAAATGTAAACCTTGTGGCCCAGTGCAATGGAGTTGAATTCAGGTCTCCTCCAAGCTGATCCACAATAGCACCTTTCGAAATATAGTATCTGTAAAATAAAGTTTGCAGTTTTCATCTTCAACTTTAGATATGTGAAAAATAAAATGTTTCCCACTTGAGCTATCGATCAATTCTGTGCCTTTGAAGATAAAAAGTGTATAGGAGAATTTCATATTAAACATAGCACTTTTTTTTCTAGAAAAAAGAAATTATTTTAAAGCTATAAAAAATGCCAAGAAACCATATAAAAAAGATGATTAGACAATCACAAGGATTTTGGAATTGGTAGTTGTACACACAAGAGTCAAGAATACTATATATATAATCAGTACGAAAAGCTTGTGTCAGCAGTTCTTGTTGCTTATGACCCAGAGTGAATGAGTTTGAGTATACACACAATAAGACAAACTGAACTTTGGGGGAGAACTCCCCATTTACCATCTTAGCATGATAATTAGACATGAAGAGCCAAAATCAGATGCATCATTGGAAGGGAAACAGGCTGGGAGCAAAAGTTGGCTGAACTAAGCATGATAATTAGAACTTTGTTTCCTAACAACCAACTTCCTTCTTCTTTTGAACCCTACAAAAGGAAGACCTAAACAATAATCAGGACCTATGGTGGTTTGAAGGAAAATGGCCCCAAAGGAAGTGGTACTGCAAGGAGGTGTGGTTTTATTGGAGGAAGTACATCACTGTGGAGGCAGGCTTTGAGGTCTCATGTATACTCAAGCCATGCCCACAGAACACTTCCTGCTGCCTACATAAAATGTAGAACTCTCAGCCACCTCTCCAGCACCATGTCTGCCTGCATGCTACCTTGCCTCCCACCATGACAATAATGGACTAAGCCTCTGAACTATAAGCAAGCCTGTTTTCCTTTAAAAATGTTTTCCTTTAAAAGAGTTGCTGTGTCTGGGTCTGTGGTCCAGCTGCAGACAGGGTCTGTGTTGATGTCAGTGGCGCATGTCATCCCAGGGGGCCTTCAGCTACGGCTGGGCCTTTGGGTTGGCCCACCCTAACCTTTAGCACATCTAGGCCGACTAGAGCTTGTGAAGAGACTGGCCCTTAGGATCTCCATGACTCAGGACGGCCATGGGATATCCCAGAGGGGTTCTAGTGAGGATCCAGTGATGATGGTGTACCAGAAACCAAGGGCCCTAAACCAGACCAGTGACTCCCTGCAATGAACATCTGCTAGTGAAGCTGGTAAGGGTCTGCTTACTATATGATTTTCTGAGGACCCCAGATACCACAACAAATGAAGAGGTGTTGGAAAGGCGGGAAAAGAGAAGCAAAGAGGTTTGGTTTTTGTTTGTTTTGTTCTTGTTTTTGTGTGCTTGTTTGCTTTGTTTCATTTTCTTTTGTGGAGGGGGCACTGAAAATGTGAGAGAAAGATATGGGGGTGGGTGCGAGGAATTGGGGTACATGATTTGAAACTCCCATAGAATCAATTATTCTTTTAAAAAGAATTTTTATATTCTTTAAAAAGAAGCTATAAAGAAACTAACAAAAATAAGTCCATGTTACCAAATTTCAGTGCAAAAATTCAAAGAATTAAGCTTTGCCAAAGAGACTGTTTAAAAAAAATGACAACACTAACAACAACAAAAAACTGAGGCTATAATTACTGAAACACAAGGTACCACTGAGAACAAAAGCAAAACCAAAGCCAACAACATAATTACTGCATTCAACATACATCTTTTATAATAACTTTAAATAAAAATAGCTTCAACTCTCCAATCAAAAGATACAGGTTGGCTGAATGGACCAAAAAGCAAAATCCATCTGTTGTCTACAATAAACAACCTCAACATAATGATTCAACACCACCTTAGAGTGCAAAGATGGACAAAAGTCCTCCAAGTAAGCAAGGAGGACAGGAAGCAAGCAGGGTCAATACCCTAATAAATGACAACAGACTTCAAACTAAAGCTAATCAGAACTGATAAAGGACACTTCATTCTAATTAAGGGAACAATTAACCAGAAAGATATTACTATCCTAAAGATATATGCACCAAACTCTGATGCACCCAATTTCATAAAAAGAGAAGTATAGGAATTAAAGACAAAGATTTAACATCAATTCATCAACAGTATGTGATTTCAATGTCCCACTTTCTCCAATGCACAAGACATCTGGACAAAGAGTAGCAGAGAAACATCAGAATTAAATGACATTATTCATCAAAGGAACTAAACAGTTATCTACAGATAATTCACCCCCACGCTAAAGAACACACACTCTACACATGCAAGTGTCTCGAAACCAAAACAAACCATGGAATGAAAAGCAAGTCTGTTGTTTTTGTTGTTGTTGTTGTTTTTCCTTTTTGGTCTTTCAAAACAGGGGTTCTCTGTCTAACAGCCATGGCTGTCCTGGAACTCAAGTCTATAGACCAGGCTGGCCTCAAATTCACAAAGATTCACCTGCCTCTGCCTCCCTAGTGCTGGAATTAAAAGCGTGCACCACCACCGCCCAACTAAAAACAAGTCTTAACTGTATGGACTGAGAAGTTGCACTATTTATTTTGAAATGTATATAGGTATATAATTAACGATTAAATAATTATTAAATATAGAATAATTATTTTATTTAAATTAAATTATTTAATTAAGTAACTAAAAACAGGCTATGAGTTTGAGAGAGAGTAAGGGGGTACATGGAAAAGACTAGAAGAAGAAAGGAATGGCCAAAAATTGTAATTGTAGTTTAAAAAAAGAAGCAATGATTAAAGGGGGTATATGGGAAGGGCTAGATGAAGAAAGGGAAGGCCAAAAATATCTAATTATAATTAAAAAAACAATAGCTGAAAAGATTTTTCCCCAACTCTGATTAAAAAAACGTTAACCCACTCCGGGGGGAGAAGAGTGGAGGGAGGGGGAGAAGGGTGGGAGGAGGGGGAGGGAAATGGGAGGCTGGGAGGAGGCGGAAACTTTTTTTTTCCTTTTCTCAATTAAAAAAAAAACGTTAACCCACAAAATCAAAATTACTTGAATTCTCATTCAAGATAAAGTAAAAGAAATTCATACTTTGTGGATTCTTCATGTCAGACTACAGAAACGAGAGATGGAAAATCTTAAGGGGAATCAAATAAAACAAAGCTTGAAAAGCGCAATGGTAGATGGAATTTCTCAACAGTGACAAAAACCAGAACACAGCACAGTGACCTTTGGGATGGGCAAGACAGAGAAAACAAGACATACAAAATCTATCAACCCAGATTTCTAGTTCATGTGAAAGCTTCCTTCATAAAGATGAAATAAAACACTTCCTAACAAATGAGACTCAGACAAGAGTGTACGCTGAAGACTGAGAAGGTCAGGAGCCAAGGGCAGGCTCTGCAGGAAGCGGCCCTCAGCGACATTAGCACAGACACTGCTTCATTCTTGCCTAGGACTTGCTTTTCCCCATCTAGAACCCATACTCAGAATGTAGGAGCCAAGTGAAATGACCCAAATTCAAGTTCAGTTCTAACCTTTATTAGCAGCTGTGATATTGGATAGCATATTTATTAAGCTTTCTACTTCATAAAAAATGTTATATCGCAAATGGAGTTATTTCAACAATTATGGCAAAAACAAAATGTGGAAAAGTACTCTACATGACTTGACTCATGTACGCTTGCAATAGATGTTAAACATAAGTTCATTTCTTTCAAGGTATACAGAATATACACCATGAACACTACGGATTTTAGAAATCGTTAGTTCCGGTGATAATTACTTTCAGTAACTTTATAGTAATGGAAAACCTTATTAATTAAAGCTTATTAAAGAGAAGCAGAGAAAACACATACTTGACTAAATCTATTCTGTTATTGATGGCAGCCCAATGAAGAAGTGTAACATTTTCTTTGTCCGGTTGCCGTACATCATAACCTGCTTCCACCAATTCTCGGCAGCGTTCATATATTCCATATCTAGAAAAGAGAACAAGTCATGCTACAAGTACTTAAAGCATTTAAAATTGAGCACAATATTGTCAGAAGTAATGGGTTTGGTTTTTTTTTTTTTTGAGACAGGATACTCCAGGTTGGCCTTAAACACACAGCAACCTCTTGCCTCAGCTCCCAAGTTATTGGAATTACATGTGTGACATCACACTTGGTTGGCTTGATGCTTCATTTTCATACTTAGAAATTAAAACTATTTTCCAACATACAATATTACTTTGAAAATATCAATATTTCAACATCTTTCACTAACTAATCCTTTTTTTGCAACTTGAAAATGTTTCATTTGTAATAATGTAAAATTTCATGAGGTTCAAGACAGAAAAAAAAAGCAAAATTAGCCAGTTTCTTTATATCAAAACTTAGTCCACAAAACTATTCAGATTTTAAAACTAAACAGAAGTTAAAAAATATTAAATTATAAGAAAATAACAGGGACTACATAAGATGTTAGAGGAATACCATGAACAAAATCTGTTTTATACAAATACTAGGATTCTCAATTTATAAACCTAGCTGATAATCCTGAAGGCAAGTAAAACTCTGTGCTGAGGTAGGAATGGGGTGGAAAGTCCTGCGACTCAGTCAGCCCATTAATAACTGAGGGACGCCCACAAGAAAGCTCCGAGCAGTGGTTCATATCTGATAAGAGAGAGGCAAGTGCAGACTGATCCTCATCCTTGAGCATCAAAATTTACTATGTTAAAGATTTGTTTTTATTTGACCAGTGTTTGCCTGCATGCGTGTGCATTTACCAAGTGTGTGCTATGACCCTGGGAGTCAGAGGAGGGCTTTGGATCCCCCCAAGAACTGGGGTTATGGACTGCCCTGTAGGTCCTGAGATCTGAACCCAGTTCCTCTGAAAGATCAAGAGAGCCCCTGTCCCTCACCCCCTGCCCCAAGGTTTTCATTTAGAAGTATTTTCCAAGTATAAAGTCGATTTATTTAACTATTAGAAAGTTTTGTGAATGGAACAAAAGTCATAATAAAAAATTAAGCCAAGTCAATAATCCAAATAAAAATGGAGCTTTGATTTTTTAATCAATTAGGAAAAGGTAGAAAATAATGGTTTTAATTGCATAAAGAAAACATTTACATTTTAGTAATACTGTTTTAGTTTGCTGCTTGTTGTTGAGATTAAATAAACACTGACCAAAAGCAACTTGAGAATAGAAGGGTGCTATTCAGTTTATAGGCTTCAGGGCATATTTCAGCTTATAGGTTACAACCCATCATTAAAGAAAGTCAGAGCAGGAATTCAAGGCAGGAACTGAAGCATAGACCATGGAAAATGCTGCTGACCAGCAGGAGCTTTCAGCCAAGGAGCCACTTCTCCAGCCCCCAAAGTTAACAACTTTTAATTAAGTTTTTAATTATTCTATTTATTGTGTGCATATGTATAGGTATGCCATGGTTCACGTGGGGAAATCAGAGCACAACTTACAGGAATCAATTCTCTGCTTCCTCTCTGTGAGTCCAAAATATAGAACTTGGGAACTTGGGTTGTGAGGCTTGGTGGCAAGCACGTTACCAATGAGCCTTCTTGACAGACCCTCAATATCTTCTTTTATTAAAGACTTATTTTTAATCAATTCTAACTATGTGTGTGTGTGGTATTATGCACACATGTGTACAGGTGCTACAGAGGCCAGAGGCATCAGATCCCCCTGGAGCTGGGGCTACAGCCATCCCATGTGGGTTCTGAGAACCAAAGTCTGGGTTTCATCCAAGAGCAGTAGACGCTTGACCACCGACAACCTCTCCAGCCACCACCATCTTGACCCCTGCTACCCTTTATTAGGAAAATTTTTAAGGGTAAACAAAAACAGGAAAGAAAAAAAAAACAGTACATTAAGCCACCAAAATCCTCCACTTAAGCCTTAACCAATTACTATTTATCAATAAAAAATTGTGAGTCAGATTATTAGGGAAAGACCCTGAAAGGTCAGAGAAGCAGTGAAGAAGTCCCCAGTGACCTCCTATCTCTTCTGTTCCTTCCTCCAAAAAGAGGCCAGATTCCCTCTAGCCCGCCTTATTACTTCCTGTCTCCTATCTGTCTACAGTCCTCCAAACCTCTATGGTTAATTTTGGTTAGCTAGTGGCTAGCTCCACCCTCTGACTCCTAGCAAGTATTTATCAAAACACAATAAAAATATCACACAACACACCATCAAGCTACACACAATCATTTCCTAGCCAAAATATTAGATCTCTGGAATTATATAACATAAAAAAACAAACATGTAAATTTGACATTTCTACTTTTTGTTTCTTTGGGGCTTTTGTCCTTCCTCACCCTCTGCAAAGAGCACTAGCATGAGCATTAAAGGTGTGTGGCACCAGACCCATATAATTTCTTAGTCAAATTCAAAAAGGTCCTCCATAGGACAAGGTTAAGAAACAGAAGAATAATAAGAAGACACTAAAAGCAAACATTAGAACTTCTAATTGTATTTATACTGTACTTAACAGAGAAACAAACTATAGGTATATTTCTAGAGACCTCATACTGCTCCATCCCTGGTTCTATCATGCATGTGTGCAAATAAACACATGCAAACACACACATGCACACACACACACACACACACAGCACAACCGAAGTGAGGAAGAGATGAGGACAATGCTATCTTTAGCTGTTCTCTTGCATAAGTGTCTGGTGAAAGAACCTAAGTATCACTACTATCAGTTTATGATCTAGCATACTTTTGTAAGTACTTGAAACTGGCCATCCCTAGTCCTATCTTTACTTTTTATTTTGCAGTAAGACCCTACTAAATTGCTCAGGCTAGCCTGAGACAAGCCTTGAACTTAAAATCCTCCTGCCTCAGTCTCCCAAGTAGGTCTGTACCACCAGACCCAGTTCTAGGCATATTAGTATAAACAACAGAATCTCACCTTGAATACGATGGTAAATGACCACAAAAACATTTTTAATATATGCAAAAATCACTGGCTATTTCCTCATGCTTTAAAGTCTATAAGGAAAATATAATTAGACAAGGAAAGATTCTTGGAGGATGGTAGAACAGGAAGAACCAGAAATAACTTATCTACCTAAAGAGTTCCTGCACTGGTGATATCTGTGTACTCTAATTATCCTGGAACTCTGGAATCTACTGGACACTTCCAACTTCCTGGCAAATTCTTGGGTTTCAAATTTTGATTAATTTCAGGTTATAGCACAGCAGCAGACACAAATCATCAACATCCACCCCCAGCAGGCAGCATAAGCTTGTTCCAGGAGCAACCACAAAACAACACATCAGAACCAGGGAGGGTGGAAAGGATGCTGCCTGTCTGGCTGGCCCTTTGAGATGTCATGGGGGGGGGGGGGGTCAGTGTCCACTGCTGCTGCTGCTGCTCAGCCTTCCACCTGCTACACCCCAGCCTCCCTCAGGCTGGCAGGACTCTGACTCACGAGGCCACTGGCCCTTTACGGCTCCCCTTTGTGTTTCTCTTCTCTTCTTCTGGGATGTAACAATAAGAGCCACATCATTCAAAGGAAACTGCATATAGTGGGAAAACTAAAAGGTGACAATGAATGTCCAGGGAGGGTACATGCTCAGAAAGATCCAAGAGGGCCTTAAGTTTATATTCAGGCTGAGGTATTGGGAAAAATCACTGATAACAATCAAAAAACAAAAGCGGCAAATCTTGAGAAGAGGGGAGTGTCTGATTTCCATGGTTACTATATTTCTAAATTCGAATGTTCAGTTTTCAGGGAGAAAGCATACACATACATATACACGCTGTAAAATCGACAACCAAAGGGGTACTGGGAAAATCTAGTCATACCTTTTAGACCATATTTAGTGTGTTGCATGCACATGTGCCACAGCGCATCTTTTGAAACCTGCAGGAATCAGTTCTCACAGTTGGAACTCAGGCCAACAGGCTTGACAGCAAGAACCTGAACACTGAGCCATCTTCCCAGCTCCAGGATACATTTTTGTATAGTATTAAAATTTGTATAAATTCTATAGTATCAATACAAATTAAGGAAGTTATAATAATGTTAGGATATTAAGAATAATAGCCATGGAAACCACAAAGAAAAATACCTATACAAATGAGAAAGGTATTAAGTATTTCACTATAAAAATCAACTAAGGAGCCCAAAACAATAAAGGCGACTGTTACTGTCACTGCAGTTGGTCCCCCAACAAACCCAGACGGTAAGACCCTACTGCTGAAGACACCATACGGCCTGGCCACAGGAACCAAGAAAGTAGGGTGGAATTCAGATGGCTGCTTCCTCCCTTCAGGCTGATAGGGCAGAACAGTCATCCACTGTCTTACTCAGCTGTGGATCCTGTGTGCTACACTACCCACTGGCCAGGCAAGACACGCCCACTGGAACAATAATGGCAGGTCTATTATTATGGAGGTAACTGCTCTCTTACAGGCAGTGAGGCCAATTTCAGAGAGAAAAATTACCTTCCAGTACAGAAACCTAATCAAAAGCTGGTGACTGCAGAGTATGGGAGCAACAGAACAACGTTTTGCTAAATGAATATGATGTGCCAGTCCAACTAATGTGTAAATTTATGTTTATGACCAAAGATTAAGTCAGAAGTCAGGTGTGGTCAGAGGGACTGCAGGACTTATTTATAATTGATAAAAATGCTGAAAATAAGTAACTCAGCCATGAGTGAGACTTTGCATTATCCTCTCCGCAGAGCAGGGAACACTGTGGCAGAGAGACAGAGGATGAGGTGGGATGCTGGCTCTCAGGCATGACACAGCCAAGGCACTCGAGAACTCCCAGCAGCTATGCCTACCTGCACAAGACCTGCATCAACATCTAGTCCTGGAGAGGTTCCAGAGTGGCCCCCCAGGACCTCTACATTAAAGGTAGTTAGTTAATGTTGACAGGGGGAAGGGGGAAGAAAGGTTTTCTTCTCATCACCTATGTTCCATTCAAACAATCCTAATGAAACTCATTCTGTCATACACAGACACATGTACACACACCCAGATACACACTCATACACAGGTGTGCACACACTTTTCATTATGTATAATTAGTATATGCTAATAAAAACATTTAAGTAGAAAGAGAAAAATCAAGAGAGATCTTCCTGCGTCTAACTCAAACCAGTCAGTATGCTCGAGGGGTAGATTTTTGTAATAACACGTTCTTAATGTTCCATTTCCCATGCATGAAACTGCTCTAGAAGCTTGACACATTAGACTATAACCTTTTAGGTAGGGCATGGTTGTGCACATCTTTACTTCCAGTACTTGGGAGGCAAAGGCAGGCAGATCTATGAGTTTGAGAACAGCCTGGACTACACAGTGACTTCTAGGCCAGCCAAGGATACATAGTGAGACTCTTGTCTCAAAAACAAAAACAAAATAACCCCCCCCCATTCACACACAATATCTAGACTTTTAAAAAGAAAATAGAAGAGAAACTTATTAGTAAGAAGATCAGGGGAAGAAGAAGGACAGTAAGACCATCGGTACAGGACTAAAGTACAGTATAGGGATGCGTGAAAATATATCTAATATATTATCTTATATAATACAAATGTGCTAGTGGATTTTCTTCTTGAAGTAGATATATAAATGGTCAAAAAGACCAAGAAAAACATGAACAAAGTAAATATACTGTGACTATTAATTGTTAGAAACTCTAAAATGCTGAGGGACTCAATTCATGTTCCTCTTATGTCTGCAGAAAAAAGGCCTGCTGTATTCAACTTCCATATGATTTGAATTATAATATTCTTAGTTATCATTTTCTTATCCAGTCTCAAAGACCAATATAATCTGACATATGGTAAATCACTATTTTGAACATTTTTGTGTATATATATATATATCTACAAATGCATATATAATAATTAACTGCATTGTATTTGTGTAGCTGGAAGTCTTTTCTCTGTCCTGTCTGCTTCCTGTCTGGTTTCTCTCCCGTCCACCGTCCATGAAGCCACTTATGAAATAATCATTGGGCGGCTTAATATTAATTATAATTTTTGACTGATGGCTCAGGATTCTTACTGGCTAGCTCTACATATAAATTAACCCATTTCTAATAAGCTGTGTATCATCACATGCCCCGTAGCTTACTGATAATGCTCTAGCATCTTACTCCTCCGGCAGCTCCCCCACTCTGCCTTTTTTCTCCCTGTCTCTCTGCTTGGATTTCCCGCCTACCTGTAGTCTGCCCTGCCATAGGCCAAAGCAGCTTCTTTATTAAAAAATGGTAATAAAACATATTCACAGCATACAGAGGGGCATCCCACATCATATCCGTGTACCTGGTTGAGTGGTAGGGAATATGGAATATACCCTTATATTTTTAACTCAAAGGTACTTCTAAAGTTGGAAATGTTTTCTAGTTGTTCACATTAAATATTCTTAAGGTAAAATAATAAACTTCCATAAAAGTTTAAGTAGCAAAAGCAAACAGCTGATGGGAATTACAGCAATTTAACTGAGATACTGACATATCTCAGGTAATAAAATACATAACTCATATTCATATTTCACTTAAAACAACTATCAAGGAAGAAAATAATCACAACAAAAACCTTACTGTGTAGCCTTGACGATGTCCCATGTGCTATAGTCATCAATGTGAGTTTTTCGCCCAAGAGGTTCACCATATCCATGGTTATAATGGCTTTGTGGTTTGACTTCCTGTTAAAGAGAAAAAACACATAAGTAAGAAAAGCAAAACTACAGAAAATAGTTTAATATTTTTATTTTTGTTCTATTTAACAAATATTCTTATTGAAATACTTATGTTTAGCTTACTCAAAATCCATAATCTAGAGAAAAAGCATGGTCAAACAAATCTTCCCCTTGTATACACCTCAAAACTAAAAAGCTCTGAGGTTAGAAATTACAAATTAGCAATTGTCTTTTGTATCATAGACTCTTCGCATCTTTCTGAAATTCTCGTTCTCTTGTGAGAAACTTTTCTCTTACTCTAAAATAACCTTAGCTCTAATGCTATGTGCCACTAACAAAGGGAAAGGATTTACCAGCTCTCTTAGAGAAATATAACATGCAAGAACATTCCTCTTCTAACTATGGTGGCACACACCTTTAATCCCAGCACTTGGGAAGCAGAGGCAGGCAGAACTCCATGAGTTCAAGACCATTTGGTCTATAGAGCAGGTTTCAAGATAGCCAGAGCTACACAGTGAGACCCTGTCTCAAAACAAAACAAAACAAAACAAAAAAAAAAAAAAAACAACCAAAAAAAAACCAACAACAAACTTCTATTCTCAGATACTAGCTTTTCCTAAACCTGTCTAGGAAAATAAACAGCTCTAAAAGAACGTCTATCTGCCTGAATACAGTCATGCCTCCTATAATACTTCAGTCAATAACAGACCATACAAACTTGTAGCCTCAAAAACTTACTATACTAGAGCTGAAACATTATCACCTAGTATATTCACTGCAGCTTTCAGACACTCCACACACTGACACACCGCAAGGCACTACAGCGTTACCTCCCTGGACAATCCACACACTCACACACCGCATTGTCTATGCTCTGTCTTGAACTCCTTTTCCACATATCCCCCCAAGTTTTCCACATATTCTCCTCACAGCTAGACTTTAAAATATGACAGGGCAGGAACACATATCTTTGAGTACTGAACAGCAGAGCAGAGCCTAGCATGACACTGGTGCTCTTTTTTTAAGACAGGGTCTCACCAGGTAACCCAGACTGACCTAAAAATCACAATCCTCCTGCCTCTAACTCCCAAGAGCTCCCATCACAGGCATGTGCAACCATGTGCATCTATACTGGTGGCCTTAAAGAAAATAAAAGAATGGAAGGGATATTTTTTCTTTTCTCATATTGAAAACACTTTAGTTCTAACACGGGGGGTAGGGAGAGGCAAGTGGATCTCTGTGACCATGAGGCCAGCCTGGTCTACATAATAAGCTCCAGGACAGCCAAAACCAGACACTAGAAAGATCCTGTTGCAGAAAAGCAAAACAACAACAGAAAACAAACAGAAAAGCTTCCACTCATTTAACATTTCTTCATTTCTTGAAGAGGGTATGGAAGGAAAATATTTGCAATCCCATCAACAATACATTATTAACTACTTTTCCATGGTACTGGATATTATTTTTAAATTCTTCCCTATTTAAAGTAACAGTTTACATGCTTTTAATCCCAGCACTGAGGCAGAGGAAGGTGGATCTCTGTTGAGTTTGAGGCCAGACCGGTCTGCAAGTCAGTCCCAGGACAGCCCCGCCCCCCAAAAAAAAGAAAGAAAGAAAAAAAGAAGTATTTTTCTATGGCATTATTTTTGAGAGTTTCCTATTAACATTCTTTGGAGTATGAGGACTTTATTCTACTGGAGTCCTGAGATTCATTTAACATGTCTGAAGTAGACCTGTATACACAATATTAGATATTACTCATTTTCTTACTTAAAGATGTCAATACCATTTTTAGTGTTGCTAATTGGTGGCTTCAGTGTGTTTCTGACATTATACGATTAATAGTTACACACATTAATCTGCTCTCAATTTTTATACTTAAATACAACTGCAATTATTAATGCTATTGACCAAATATTCTTTCTCAGGCACACAGTAAGATTGTACAACCCTGGCCATTTGAAAGAAGTCTGAGTAAGTGACAGGCTTTTATTTTTAACTGAATATGAACGAAGAATATACACTTCACTCTTACTTTCTGTGTCACAGACACCGGCAGTCCTTTTAAAGAGTAAAAGTAGTCATTCTGGGTCTGACAGCAGCCACTGCTTACCCCATAATGTATGTGCTACATGAACCAGTAACACTGATGCTGTTATCAGTTTAGGGTTGAGACTGCAGCAAATCTAGTTTATCCTATCTATCAGAAACATGAGAGCTATTTATTTGGGGAAATACTATACAAATAGATCTCTATAAATCTTAATTATATTTTAGTGATGGTTGTAACCACAATATGCTTTGGCTAATTTATATTTACAGATTTCTTATATGTGGCCATATATAAAAAAATTATTTTAGAATAATGTCTCTTTAAATAGTGTAAAGTACAAATTAATTTCTTAAAAATACATGGTATTGTTTTCTCATTTTCATGGATCAAGTCACCTATGCTAAACATTTTACAAGATTGATTCTTATCAATGATGTGTAGCCTAAGAATGCTGCAGGTCCACAGACAAATTATCTTGGACTAGCTTAGCTCCCTAAATAGCTACATACAACATAATTCTCTACAAAGCCTAACACCTTTTAACTATCAGGTAAGCCTTCTGGATTGTATGAATAGAGCCCTAGTTTCTTTTCATCAATCCCCAAATTAAGAATGACATCAGATAGCATCTGAGGCCTATGGGAAAGACATCCATCCCTGCTTTGTTGAACCCACTTTCTTGACGCTTCCACGGACGTATTGAAAAGAAGTCTGAAGTTATGACTCTCTGTTCTAGTTCTATAAAAACTTGGTGAAGTTTGTTACATTTTAGAACACGGTGTCTGGGGGATTTGTGTTCCCAGGCCATGCTTAGATCTAAAATTATTTCTTACTTCCTTTTCAGGTGAGAGCTGTGTTTTGGCTTTTCACTGGAGAGTAATTATCAGTTTTACCTCCTAACTCAAGATTCTGAACAACATTCTTTTAAAACAGCTCGTTGGATGGAAATGATCTTGGAAGCTTCTTTTCATCCTTGACCAACAGCACTCGCCAGCATCCTAACTCAAGTACTCAATATATTTCCAACAGGTTCAAGAACACTGGGTCAGATACAACATGATTCTGAAAGACTCTGAGAAAGTACCTTTTAAGCATTAAAAGCTGTCTTCGCTTTGAAAACTTAAGAGTTATATTCAGGCAAACACTGCTATTTAAACTCAGGAAAATGTCATCAGAGTGGTGCAGAAACGGTTAAAATCCTTATTATGAAAAATTTCTTAGAAGAATGTAAAACTCACTTCTCTGAGAATTAAACAAAGGCATTATGCATCTAGTTCAATATGCAGCAGAGTTCAATCAGCAAGGCTTATGCAAGAAATAACAGGATTAGATACACAACTAATCCTCCCAACTGATGCACAAGCACCTCCTGATTCTGCCAACCCCCACAAGCTAGTCCTTTCCTTCCTGTCCGATGGGGGAGGACACTAGTGGTGTCCCCTTTGTGTAGAACAAGCATTCTACCACTCAGCTACATTCCTAGGCTTTCTTGTTCCCTAAAAGCCATTTATTTCTACCTACTGGAACATCCTAGCTAGAAAACTCATTCCACCTCGACTCTTGATCCCAAAGCTCAAAATGCTTTTCTTTTTCTTTTTTTTTTTTAATATTTATTTATTTATTATGTATACAATGTTCTGTCTGTGTGTATGCCTGAAGGCCAGAAGAGGGCACCAGACCTCTTTACAGATGGTTGTGAGCCACCATGTGGTTGCTGGGAATTGAACTCAGGACCTTTGGAAGAGCAGGCAATGCTCTTAACCACTGAGCCATCTCTCCAGCCCTCAAAATGCTTTTCTCTAAACCAATCCTCACTGGCTCCTTTCTCTGAACCCCCTCATAACACCCTCTCATTCTGTCTAGATTCCTCTCCTATGACATTTTAGCAATCATATAAAATCCTCCGTGAACCTGTCCCAACTGACGCTTTTCAACGCTTTTCAATTGTATTTACCATTCTCCTTCTCCTATACATTTGTATGCTGTGTACTTTCAAATCCTTGCTCTTCTATCTTAGCTCATGTTAGTCATCCTACTTAGAAACAGTACTGAGCTTAGGCAACTTTTAAACCCTTCAACTCACTATTCAAATATCACTTTCCCTTTCCCCTTGTTTCCCTCGGGCACCTAGACAGCACCTGAGCTCCCATTACTATACAAACAAATCATTAAGCACTGTGTGGAGGAATTATGTCGGTTTGTTATCTCTAACAAACCTAGTGGCTTAAAGCAACATAAATTTATTATTTTAGGCTTCTGGTTCAGAAACCTAGAATCACTGTGCTTGCTTGCTAAAAGCAAGAATGTCAGCTCTGCAAAAACGTTCCTTCAGCGGTAAGAGTTATTGCTTCCACTATCGTGGGGGCTGGGGACTCCTGTTGACCAGAGGATAAACAAGGTTAGAGAAGAGACAAAGTCCAAGGTGCAGAGCTGGCACTGTGCAGTTTTCTCTCAGTTACTGAATAGCTATGGAGATATTCAAGTGCGGGCTTTCCTAGCAAGTTCAGCATCACAGCCTCTCCCTTTAAAATGCAAGAAGCTTTACCAGATCCTGTTCTCAGTACTTTTGCTCCAAAAAACAAGCTGAGAGCAAAGAAAAGTTGTCCTGAACACCCTATTCTCCACAGGCCTATCAGAGGAGTGTATCTCTCAAGGAAGAGTAGCAAGAGCTTTCTGCTGTGTGTCAGCACTGACAGCTCTCCTTCACTCAAGGGTAAATCACGCAAAAAACATGGCCCTACTGGGCACAGTTGATTTTTCTTGATGTTATGCAGGCTAATTTTTTTTTTATCAGATTAGGAGAACACTTACATGTTCAGTTTCTTGAACGTCATCATTAAATTGCATTCCAGGGTAGTAGTACCAATTTATACTCTTCAACAACAACCCAACTGGTTTCCTTCCGCTATACTGAGATTGATCAGACTTCTTCATTTGGCGAGACTAAGAAATA